ATTCTAATATACCCTAACCCTTCTACACATCCCACAGACTGGTGATGGTGTGAACGATGCTCCTGCCCTGAAGAAGGCAGAGATTGGCATTGCCATGGGCTCTGGCACTGCTGTTGCCAAGTCAGCCTCTGAGATGGTCCTGGCCGACGACAACTTCTCTAGCATTGTGGCCGCTGTTGAGGAGGGCAGAGCCATTTACAACAACATGAAGCAGTTCATCCGTTACCTCATCTCCTCTAATGTTGGAGAGGTTGTCTGGTGAGTGGTAGTTTCAGTCTCTCTTTTACATAAACAGGCATATCCATTAACCCTATGGAATTGGGGTAAGGTTGGCTTTAAAGCTGATTTATTTCCTCAATCATTTATCTCCTTTACAGTATTTTCCTGACTGCAGCTCTTGGTCTTCCTGAGGCTCTGATCCCAGTTCAGCTGCTGTGGGTGAACCTGGTCACTGATGGTCTCCCTGCCACTGCTCTGGGCTTCAACCCCCCTGATTTGGACATCATGGGCAAGGCTCCCCGCTCCCCCAAAGAGCCTCTTATCTCCGGCTGGCTCTTCTTCAGATACCTGGCCATTGGAGGTATGATACTTTTCATTTTTCTGATTTATTTCTGATCTTTTGAGGTTTAGAAACCTTTTCTGGTAACCTCAGAACATCTTACAGATTCTGTTGAATCCCTTTCTCTCAGGTTATGTTGGTGCTGCAACTGTTGCTGCTGCTGGATGGTGGTTCCTCTACTGTGATGAAGGCCCCATGGTCTCCTTCTACCAGCTGGTGAGAATCTGGCATGATCTCATCTAACACTGTTGGTGATACAGTATGTGCTTACTGATGTCTCTGAATGTGGTACATTTCACAATAAAATAATAATGCTGCTGCACCTATCCTCCTGTCCTTAGTCCCACTTCATGCAGTGCACTGCTGACAATGAGGACTTTGCCGGTATTGAATGTGAGGTGTTCGAGGCCGCTCCACCAATGACAATGGCTCTGTCTGTGTTGGTCACCATTGAGATGTGCAATGCTCTGAACAGGTCAGTACTGACCTTCTCCAAATACAATCGCAAAAGTCATAAAAGTTTATTAGTTTCAGTTGACTATAACATACATCGATGCATGTTTTTGCAGCTTGTCAGAGAATCAGTCTCTTTTGCGTATGCCTCCATGGAGCAACTTGTGGTTGGCGGGAGCCATGACTCTCTCCATGTCTCTGCACTTCATGATCATCTATGTGGACCCTCTGCCTGTAAGTCCTGTGTGCACTGAGCATGCTCAATTCAGTTCAGTTTGTGCATTTAGTACACTCTAAAAATGATTTTCATAATCTAACATTGAGTCAAATTTGGACAAACCTAATCGTTGAATTAAAAAAGTATCATTTATTTTTAATAAAACCCAACGTTGAGTGTCCATATTTGAGAAAATGAGGGTTACAATAAGTGTAATATTGCCATCTAGGTTAGTGTCTGCCACCAGAGGGCAACCAAAGTATGCATTTAGATAATCCCAGTCAATAGACACTTACCTTTGACACTGTCCCAAACATTGCCACATATAATAAACAGATTTTCAAAATAGTAAGCTTATCATATCACAATTTCAATAAGCCATCTGCTAATCTCTGCCTTTTCTCCAACAGATGATCTTCAAACTAACCCATCTCAACTTTGACCAGTGGATCGTTGTACTGAAGCTTTCCTTCCCAGTCATCCTCATTGACGAAGCTCTGAAATTTGTTGCCCGCAACTACCTGGAGGGTGAGTAACCATTTACCACAAGATCACACATTTAAAATATTTCTGTTTTAAGATGTACAACATGACTACTTTATTTATTTTTATAAGTAAATAACAGTTCCTGGCTGTTGATAATTAAAATGAACCATAAACACTTATTCAATGTAACATCTTCAACAGTTTCCTGTATCTAATGGAGATATTAATTACTAACTAAATAATGAACAAATATAATTTACAATGATGACCTATTCATTTCCCTGTACTTTCTTGTAATCTACTTATATATTGACCTTTTTTTTAACTCAATTACTTTGTGGCCGATTTCTTCCAGTGGTGTAAATATTCCTCGCTTTTACCCTCTCCCCTTAATCAAACCCCTTTTATCTTATTCCAGCCTAATCCTGTTCCCCTCCATATTCCTGTAACAAAGCCAGGTATCCCACAATCCTCTCTGTCTGTGCCTGCCTATATCCCTGTGTCTGTTTGTGTGGACCAACTGTGCCATGTTTTTTTGCTTGTTATTTGACATGCATATATATTCAACCATCAGTCATGGAGCTCCTCGGATCACATGACTAATACATTTGTTTTTACACAGTAATGCACTTTATACAGTAGTGATAGATGTTATAGTGGCTGCTGGATATCATCATCAGCAGTAAATGCTTAAAGAATTAGTTACCCACAAAATGAAAATGCTATCATCTTTTACTCAACCTTTACTTTTTCCAGACTTTTATGAGTTTATTTCTCCAGTGGAACACCAAAGAAGAAATTTTGAAGAAACCTGTAACCACTGACTTCCAACATATTTGTTTTTTCCACAAATTTCAAGGGGGAAGGTACATTTTTAATTTGAGAAAATGCTTTTTTTTTTTAAATAACCACCAAGTGCTCTCTCTCAAACACACACACACACATATATATATATCCCTGTGTTTACAGTATCATTAGGATGATGACTAAATATACATTTACAGTGTTTTATATAAATATAAAACACTTTGTTTACCTTATGTGGCCCAACTTCATGAGTTCTTTTCTATAAACTGAAATATATCAGGAAGAATATCTTACAATCAGATTAAATCAACAAATCCCTCTTGACACCACAAAGATGGCAAGTTAGCAAGTAGATAAATTTAGTGTTTATTTAATAACTGACTGTTTAACAAGGCTTAAGAGGTGGCATGAATGCACTATAATTACTAATAAAAATGTCATGAGATTTAAACCTAAAACCGCCAGAAGGTGGAGACAAGTCACCGTCTTTGCCACTGAATGATTGACTTAATGGAGTTGTTCAAACAGCTGATTCATTCACAAATGTCTTTCTGTATGGACAACTCAATCAATTAATCATAGATTTATTTATAAACAAAACATGGTATGGAGATGTATAGCGGCTGAGCTGTTTGGAAGCATTTTGAGAAAATGAAATCACATTATTTGCATTCAGATTTTAGAGATAAGAATGACGGTTCATTTTAGAAACAGGAAACCTAGAATCTGCTGCAACTTAGATATTAACGGCGAAACTTGAGTTGCTAAAGAAAATGTTAGCAAGCCCTGTTAACTGTGTTTTGCAGTGGATACAGAACAACTTAAGTAACACTTGCATCAAGCTGTCTAAACTGATCTGAAATGCAGTTATGCATGGCAGGTACAGCACATATATAATAATAAACAACTAAATATCATTCCTTCTGTTCTCTTCTTTTTTAAAAATACAAAAAGTCGCGTCTGAACTGCTCGGTTAGACATTTTGGAAATCGCGTGAAATAACGCAATGAACTGTATCGCGCTTATGTGTGGCAGCTTGTTGTTTATTAGTCATAAATTACCAAAAATAGAAAATGTTAATATTTAATTTGCATGATAATTTTTACATTACACACACTGTGTTAATCTAAAGGGGTTTGTAAGGGTGGAAGGGGATGATTTTTGTCATTTTTTCTATAAGGAAGGGGGGGGGGGGTGCCATCCCTCCTGCACCCCCCTTCAATTCCAGCATTGGTTACAGGTTTCTTTAAAATATCTACTTTGGTGTCCACAGATGACAGAAACTCAAAGGTTATAAACCACTCTAGGATGAGTACATTTTCATTTTTGGGTGAACTATCCCTTTCATTCTAAATTCTTCCTCAAATATGTGGTCTTGACAAAGATTCTGATGAATTAATATGATACGACTGTACATTTAAAGTTGTGCACTTCATAGCTATGTATGCCTAGAATATTTTGGCTTTACAAGAGTGCTGTTGTGGACTAATCTATAAGGCTTCCTGTCTCACATGACTTATTTTCTTAAACAGAGAAAGATCAGAATCTAGTGTCCAAAAAGTGGGACTGAAAAGGAAGAACTAAAACAGCACTCCACGCAGAAAAATGACATTCACCAGGAGTGATACAGAATCCAACCGGGAACCAGTGAAAAATCACCCATAAAATGTAAAACCTTACAGAACAAAATGAAAAAAAAATATTTAAGTAAAAAAAAAAAGTGTTATGTATATGTATTAAGACTTAATTTAATATATATAATGTTATGAACAGTATATTCTAATGAAAATGCTATTCTTAAAATAAAGATGTGTATAAAACAAGCCTTGTCTGTTACAGTCTTTTAGTTTATTTGTTTTATACATACACAATTCATTCAGAATTGTTTCTAACATGGTGCTGCATTCATAGCACTTCATTAACATGTATTAGCCCCAAATAGATTTAGTGTTTCATCACCAAATTGATCTTCCACTGCTCATTGGCTCAGGCACCAGATACATCAAAATGAAACTAGACCTCTTTCTGATAAAGTGACTTTGGCCATAAACTCGATGCAAATCTCATTACAGTGTTCAGTAGGTAGTATTACACTAAGAGTAAAATTTACACAAAAAATATTCAGTCTAGAGTGATGAAAGCAGTTCAGTTTAGCCTGAGAACAATACGAATATTTCACTTTGAGTGACAGATTCAATAAACTCAAATATTTGTAGATGTGAAATGCACTTATGCTGTGCAAAGTCATAATGAATTTACTCTAAAGCAGTGTTTCTCAACCAAGTTCCTGGAGGACCACCAGCTCTGCACATTTTCCATGTCTCTCTAACCAAACACACCTGATTCAGATCATCAGCTTATTAAAGACTGAAAGAGCTGTATTGGGTGTGACAGACAAAGGAGACATCTAAAACATGCAGTGTTGGTGGTCCTCCAGGAACGTGGTTGAGAAACACTGATCTAACGCATATATTTAATTTCTTGGTTATTGCTCGCTGGTGGCTAGCATTAATAACTAGCTATCATTACAGTTATCCTGACTCAGAAGCTAGGAGCAATTGTAACACTAGTTATGAATAAAAATGGTATGAATTAAAAGATGCACTCTTTAAAACAAATAAATAGGGCACTAGAATAGTCAACAAACGGTCCTTAAAATATTTTTAGAAAAAGTTTGCATCTCATGTAACATGTTAAGATTTTAACTAAAAGAATTAATGCCATATTTTAATAGTAACATAAAAATTTGATTGCTCATCACTGAACAATCTTATTTTGGCACATGTATTTTTTCCTATAACAAAAGATGGCAGATATATCTGCAGTAGTTTGTATATACAGTTAGCACTGCCTTATTCTCAGTTCCTAGTGTGTGTTTTTTGGTTACTTTGCTGGTGACAGGTGCTGATGATTGGCATTTCATCCGTCAGTCTTTCTTTTATGACCAGCAAGACAAATCTAACTTTGCAGTAGCACGAAATCTAGTACAGACAGTGGTCAGTGTATTAGCTTTACACACAATTCAAGTATTAGCAAATCCCAAATTGCCCAGATTGATAAAGAGTCGTGTTTAGCCTGTAATGCTCGAGATGACTGAGAGTGAGTGCAGAAGAGATGAGTGCAGAAGTGGCCGTTTAGTGCTTCAGTTCATTCTGTATGCGTTATTTTGTTGACAATCCACCTTAGTTTGGCCCTTTAGTCTCCTTAGTCTCTTCCCTTTGGTTTGACAAAGTCACCTGTTTGTTTATGGTTTCATGTGGCATCTGAGGGTAAATCTTCTTCAATTTCCTCCCCTAAAATGTGCTTGACTTGGTTCAATGATACTGCTTGGCGGATCTGCTCCAGCTTCACCTGAAAATGCAGAAGAAATGAAAACGTTTTGAAATCGTTCTCTTTTTTTTACTTAACAGATAACAAGTGGAAACAAAACAAACAAACAAAAAATAATAGTAATAATTAACACATATAATACATCAATTCCACACATTTATACATACATACATACATACATACATAAATACATACGTACATACATACATACACAAATATGTTAAATTAACCTCAACAATATAATAAATAAATAAATAAATAGAATAAATATAAAATAAGACAAAAGGTTGCAAACATACTCTCCCAATGGCGCATAACCTCTAGGACAGGGGTCACCAACCTCGGTCCTGGAGGGCCAGTGTCCCTGCAGGATTTAACTCCAACTTGCCTCAACACACCTCCCTGGGTGTTTCAACTATCCCTAGTAAGACCTTGATTAGCTTGTTCAGGTGTGTTTGATTAGGGTTGTAGCTAAAATCTCCAGGACACCGGCCCTCCAGGAAAGTTTGTACACCGTTAGAAATGATTAATAAACTCATTTACCTTATTTAAATAATCCACAGTTTTTATTCTTGTAAATATTATATTTGTTGAGATATTGTCTGTTTTTATTCCTTTATGTCATTTATGTCTGATTTGCTGTATATTTTTACATTTTGATGTTGATATATTACATTTTAAACATATTTTAATCATATCTAACATGCAATACTGTACAAAATGTCAGCGGCAGATTTTCCTGAATAGATTAAAAGAAAAACAGTAGATTTCTTTTTTATTTCAAAAGTCTTTTTTTCAACCAATTGAAAAGAAACAGTGATTAACACTGCCATAATAAATAAACATATTGTGAAAAATCACTTCTTTTGTTGACCGCTTTCATCTAGTTGACCATGTGTCATGGTAAAAGGTGTGTTTTAATCCGTCGACCACAAATATATTTTAAACCTGTGGGAATAACTGGTTATTTTGATCTATTTCATATAGATTTTTATGTTTACCTATAGATTTTATTTAGTTTAGTTTTTGTTTAATTGAAGTTTAAGTTTAAACTGTTTTTATATTGTATTTAAATTCATCTGTTTGCTTTCCTTCAAATAATTACCCTTTTATTTGTTTTAGTTACAATTACCATTAATATCCCCTTATGTTTTACTTCAAAGATGTGCCCAATGTCAACATCAGAAAAGAAATCATATATCCGGTGCAGTGTTTTATTTGTACCATCAACAACTAATGGATTATGCCAACAGAGACTGCAATGTTTACGCAGGACAGATAAAGAGCATGTTCTCCATACTGATCCTAAATCAGTGCAGTACCTGCAGTGACTGAGACAGCTGCACGAAATCCTTCTGCACAGCCTGACTGGTGTCTAGTTGAGAGCGCAGGCTGATGACCTGACTGCGTAACTCTAAACACTGCTGCTGTAACACCGCCTGAAAGACACAGAGAGACGTACACCGCGGTTCAGCCGCATTCACTAATATTCATCTGTGCACACAAAAGACGCAGGTTTACCTTTTCCTGAAGGTGAGCTTTGTTGTCTTTCTGAAGGTGAGAAAGCGCAACACGCAGACCCTGCACCTCCACTCGACACTCCTGCAGTTCAGCCTCCAACTGCAGAGACACATAGGCAAATGGCTACTTTTTTACAGCTAGCACACTGCATTTCATTTGATGAACAGCATGTAAAACAGACATGCATTATCACCAAATCAAATAGACTTGTAACATAAATGTTAAATTTAATGAGTGCATCTAAATCTAAAAAGGCATTAAAGGGATAATTCACCCAAATGTTTAATTTACTCACTATTTAATCAACCTTAAGTAGATTTAAACCTTTATGAGTTTCTTTGTTCAGTTGAACAAAAAGATTCTATTTTGAAGAAAGCTGGAAGCCTTTAACTATGGACTGTAATATTTGTTTCTCCTACTATGATAGTCAATGGTTACAGGTGTCCAGCTTTCTTCAAAATATCTTCTTTAGTGTTTACCAGAAAATAGAAAAGTCAAAGAATAAGTATAGGGTAAGTATAGGGCGAGTGAATTATGACAATATATAGTGGACTGTCCCTTTAAAGAGATTCTTTTGGCATTTTATTATAGTAAGAGGAGTCAGAGACGTTATAAAAATAACTTCAATGCCATTGCTTTCAATAAAGCATGCAAATGAAATTTGATATTCAAAAACATCTTGAGGAGCTAATTTGGTTAGGGCTTCTTCAACATGACACAGTGAGCTTATGTGGACAAATAAAGTTGGCGATATAATTTCTGAACGCAAGAGAGATTTCAATACACATCATGCACAAAACATAGTATAATCCATTTGATAGCCTGCTGAGAGCAGACACAGGCTTAAAAAAACACATGCAAACTATTGTTGGTGTCTTTGTCCAGGGTTCTGTTCTTCGTACGTGGAATTCTCGGTTAACTGGATTTGGTATTGATGATTTGACATGATCCAGGACCTTTTCATTCTTCAAAACTCATCCGAGAGTTGTCATAGCTCAGATTAGGTCTGGTAGCATTATTTAAAAAAATATAAATAAAACTTATGCAATCTTAAATAAAAATACAAAGACTGTCCCGAGGTGGTTCTCCCCAAAGGGTTCAAAGAGAACACTTATTAATATGGACTTTTTAGACACAAACATGTACTATTTTGAGGTACCAGCTTTAGTACAATTTGTATATGATAATAGACGTGCACATGTTTTGACAGCTAATATGCCGGTGATTTGTTGCTTGGCAAAAGTTGCAGACACCTTTACCAATATCAAAATGCTTTTTTGATGCAAAAATAATTTAAACAGCCAGTTATTCCTTATGAAGAATAAAAAAAAAAAAACTTAAATAGGTCCAGCCTACTATTCACCTTATTCTCCACCGACGAGCGGGCGCTGCCATTTGAATCTGTTTAGCTCGAGACTTCTGGTCTCATTCATTTACATTCATTTTTAGACATTAACAACTGCTCATTACGCTGTTTGATGTTGCAAACTGATATTTTCTAATTATATTATTCTACTTGGTCTATATACTCATGCAAACATTTGTTTGTAGAGCAAGTAGTTTGACCGTTTTCTGCCGTTTATTATTTCTAGTCATTTCTCCCATAGGCGACTGAATCGGAAGTTCTAAAACAATCGCGAAAACAGGCGCACTTCCGCATTTTAGAATAAGGTCAATAATAAAGAAAATCCGCTCTAGATGTAAAACTAAACAAATTGCTAAATACTCTAGACACAGAAAAGTGGAAAGCCTGTAGCCCACAACAAACGTGAAAAGTGATTGTGCATCATATTTTAATTGAATATTAATGAGATGATGTCATTATGCTGCTGTGCTGTCAGCCAATCATTGCATTGTTGATCATGATTTCGAGGATCAACAGATCTGTCCCTCACAACACACACAGCGATCTCAGATCAGTTCATCCAGACATTTTAATCTGATTCACAAACTTGTTTGAAGAACCAAATTAGCCAGAGATCAGTTATCAAGATAAACAGATCCAAGATCAAGATCCAAATCATGTTATATCATTTAAGCGAGGTGCGAAGAACGGACCGCTGGTGTTTGTGTACTTAATTCCTTTATTACGAATGAAAAAAGTGTTTAATATTTAATATACAACTGCATCTATCTTTAAAACAGCCATTGAGCCAGTAGTTTGCTGCTCTGTCACCGGTTTCTTTTGCTGACTGTGTAACAATGACCCAGTTTGATCATTTTCCTATTAAAGCTTGGCACTTCTGTAGGACTGGGATCAATGGAAAAAGAAAAAGGTTGATAATTTCTAGGGCATAATGAAAGCTCCACTGTTTTCATGTCACACTCGTCTCTCTTCAGCAGTTGCTTCAGTGGTCTCATTTTACGTTGATGGCTTTCAGCCTTATTCTGTTTCATACCACCATGCTAATAGGTTTTGAATACTTTAGCTCATCCATTAACATGACTTCTGCAGACGTGCCATAAAAGTGCCAAATAAGACCACAACTCCCACGATTCCACTCTGTCACTGCATAATCAAAATATGCCTTTTTGTTGTGAATATGCACCTCAACTGGCGAAAATTGCATATTCTGTTTAAAATTACAAACAAAAATCCCTCACATTCTGTGACAAATAAATGGAAAACTCCCTGATTTTCTGGAATAGACAATGAATAAAATAAATTAATACTGAAACTCCATAAGCCAGGGGTCTCAAATTCAGTTCCTGGAGGGCTGCAGCCTTGCAGAGTTCAGTTTCAACCCTCCTTCAACAGATTTATGCTGCGGTCACACTAGAATTTGAGCATATAAAACTCTGTCATATAGTGCTGCGAAATGGGTGGGATAAAACTAGATGATTGGTCCATATTTAAAATTTCGGTACAGAGAGGTCATGTTTTGATCTTCGATTGGTCTCACACAGTCACTTGACGCGATTTCACAGGTCAGAGTACACCAATCTTGAATTTTGCAACGCAGCGACATGCAAAATTTGTCACATGAACTTCCGTTTTCAGTCTGTCAAATTTGTATGCGTATGAATGGAAGTCTATGGGGCCGAAAAGTGCAGTATGACCGCGGCTTTATCAGCAGATTTCAATCAAGCCTGAAGGACTCATTTTATTGAAGGACAAATAGGGTTAAAGCTAAACTGTGCAGAGGTGTGGCCCTCTAGCAACTGAGTTTGAAACCCATAACCCATGGAATCTAATCTACACTGCTGTTGTAGGGTAAACCTATCTGTACTTTAACAGGGAGACAAGTCCACCTACATTCTTCCCACTGACCTAGATCTGATATTATAGAAAATGCTGTATGCTAGCTTCATGTGAACTGTAAACATCTGTGAGCATACAATTTATACAAATTGTGCAAATATTGAAATTATGGTCAAATGCACTATATTTAAGTATACTCAAGACTTAAAAATATAAGGCGTGCATACCTTTTCCTTCCGGATCTGTATGCGGTCTGTCTCTACTTTCAGACTGGCAAGCTTGACTGAGCAGGAAAGAATTCACAAACTCACAAATCATAAACTGACACAGGACACACAGTTTCAATGTGTTACATCTAGTCTTAAATATCAGTTAAGATTTCGACACTAGAGACAGAAAACAAAGTAACTTTGACTTACCTTCTAGAATTTCTGGAGGATCAGATGTGACAAAACAAAAAAGAAAAGAAAAGAAGATCACATTTTTAAAGTACACTAAACCATCAAAATCTTAAACAAACAGAAACAACTTTAAAGAGATACAGCAGTTTATCCAAACACAAAAAACAACAACTTTACTCTCCCACAAAAGAAAATATTTTGAAGAAGGTTGAAAACCAGCAGCTATTGATTCTATATTACCATTTGTCCTACTAAAGGAAGTCAGTGGCTTCCAGTTTCCAACATTCTTTAAAATATCTTCTTTTGTGTTCAGCAGAAAAAAGGAACCTGAAAGGTTTGGAACCACTTGAGGATGAATTAATACTGTGCTTGAGCAATGATGAAAAGCAAAATAAAATAAAAAAGTTTTCTGTGGCTCAAGCACCAGTGGGATTAATTATGTTCCCATGTGTATAGTTTATACGCACTGTAAAACATTTAGTATAAAAATATATGTAAATAAATATGTAACAATATAGACAGACCGCTCTCCTCTGTGCGCGTCTCCAGCTGTTCCTGTAGGTTGACTATTTCAATACGAAGCCTCTCTTCACAGTGAGCTGCCTATAGAGATACACATTAATAGAAAAACACACACCATTCAGTTCCTCCACACCTTTCAACAAATCCACGTACACTCACACACTCGTTTACCTCTAGTGTTGGACTGGGGGGTGGCAGGCTGTTCTCGGTTTTTTCATCCACGTCACCGTCTTCTCCCTTCAGCTTGGAGAGTTCATTACAGACTCTCTTCTGCGAGTAAGACAGCTCTGCCTGAGTGGAGAAAATGCACAAAGAAAAAGTTTCATAAAGAGCGTGTGATCTCATCAGGGTAGTAGCTCGGAAATCCTGCTAATGCTAGCTTCTGATTGGTTCAGTCACATGCTACTCACCAATCTGCACTGAACAGCATTTTGTGACATGCTAAAAGATTTCTGTAGATCTTGAAGGAGGGCTTCAGAAGTTTGCACCTGAGACTGAAGCACTGACAACTGCCATAGACAAGAACACGCAGATATATTAATATACAAGTGTTTATTTAGAAAGAAATCCTCTGCAGACATGCTATGTCAAGGTTCTAGTAAAACTATTATATTTATTTATTAACTTTTATTATCTATTTTTTTTCATAGTTATGCCTTTTGTGTATCATTTTATGTTTTGGGAGAAGCCTGTGTAGTCATTTCCAGTCAAAAAAAAAAACCTTGCTGGTTGAATAAAAGTAAATTTAAGTCTGAATCTGCCAGGGGTATGAATAATTTCGGGCTTGACTGTATATTTAAAAACATTTTAAATTAGTCTTTTGTGTTTCAAAGGGTACCTATGATGAAAATTGACTTTTGTAAGCTGTTTGGACAGAAATGTGTGTACGTATAGTGCATGCACTGTCATATTAGAGTGATGGCAACACAATAAGTCTCATTTTTAAATTTCCTGACGTTAAAATAGGATTTTAAAATAAACTTGCTTGGTATTTTTGACTAATGAGCAGTATTTCAGCTTTATTTAATTCTCTATCACTGACTGCTGTTTATCTGGTGTAAAGCAGGAAAAGCAGACACGCATGTGGTGGAGCAGAGGAGCAGCTCATTTGCATTTAAAGCCACAGGCTACAAAAACAGCAACAATATATTCAGACAGCTTAAACTTTACAGACTCATTGTGGAGACACCAAAGGCTTATCAAACATGTTGTAAAAGGGTAAAATAGGTGTCCTTTAAACCATTTTATTAATGTAAAGCAGTTGTTTCAATTTATTCATTCAAAGTTTGTCAAATTCGGTTGTTTTCCACATTATACAACTAATTCCATTTGTATAAACGGATTCCACAATTTCATGAAATTATTCATAGTTCTTGTATTTAAATTTAAGATTTTTAAATTAAGAATTTCTTAGTATTTTCATTTAATTTTTGAAAGCAGCATGGTACAATTGTTGAAATAACACAATAAACTTTCATTTCAAGCACTTTCAACGACCTATGTTTTTTCTTAAGTACTTTTCAGGCCTTGAATTCATGTATCTGAAATACAAGTGCTTTTAGGAAGTGTGGGAACACTGCAGAAGACATTTTATTCTGTTAAAAACTACCAATGAACTGTTTAGAATGAATAAGTAGACAGAAATTAGAATTAGTTTAGCAAAGAAATAATAAATTATTCAATGACTTTAAAAACAATCGCACCAATACCAATAAATTAATAAATGTTCTTTGGAAAATTCATCTTGTGAAAGACAAGTAGTAAGAGTTTCAGTACCTGTTTTTGTGTCTCTGTGCTTTGCACTTCCAGTTCTCTCTCTAGTTCAGCTTTCTGTTTTTGAAGCTCCGTCACCTCGTCTTGAAGCTCTGCAAGCTACAAATGTGCAGGACGAGATTCAACAAGAGACAGTGACTACGTTTACATGGACATCAGTAATCTCAATATTTGCCTAAATCTGAATAAGGCAATAATATGATTAAGGCGTTACTATGAGTTGCTTTTTGAATGTTCCTTTCATGATCCCGTTTTTCATGTTATAACACATAATTCGATTAACTTCATTGTGTCACCACACTACCCACATTTCCTCTGGAGTTTTATGTAATTTCAGATGTTTCGTTTTTAATTTGTCGACTTTAACTGCAGTTTGGCACTTTCACTTTCATTCAGAAACATTTAATGCATGTCCCTGTGACAAACGAGATATTGGATGCTCGTATGAACTGCTGGAAGAGTTTAGTTGTAATGGAATGTTATATACCGCACGCCGTACGGGAAAAAACATCTGCATTTCTACCATGTAAATTGCTGTTTACATGGTCAACTCTTAATCAGAGTATTGTCTTAATCGTATTAAAATTGGATTACTGGTGTCCATGTAAACGTACTCTTTGACGTCATGCGTTAGTCATTATGTCAATGATTTCTAATGCAATGTTTAGCAAATAAGCTAAAAATCTACCACACCAATTACTTGAGAAAGGCAGCACTTATGAAGAGTTATTTCTATCTGATCAATGATTTTAGATCCAATCCTAATTAGAAAATTAATACATTACTTTTTAGCATTTTGGTAATTTCCATGACTTTGTTGGATTCAACTCCTGGACACCACAATTTTACAGTTCCTGATACAGTTTTCATGGCAGTGGGAAACCTAAACGAAAGACTACTGGTATACTGACTTGTGCTTGCAGTTTGTCCCAGTCAGCATGTGTGACCAGCCTGTGTCCCGGTGGCGGCAGGTAGATCGCTTCTGGCACCAGTGTTCCAGTGGACAGCAGGGAGGCAGTGTCATCCTGAGGGGGTGGATGTCGGGGCAGAGAGGGCGTATCAAGAGAGAAAGATGACAGAGAGGCAGAGTCGCAGTGCTGGGGAAAGTAGTCCATCATGAGGCCAGTGGTCTCTGTGTCTGAAGTCTCTGCCAGCAGCTCCAGAGGATCGGAGTCTGACCCTGAGCCCTCGTGATCCACACCCCGCAGGGGAGAGGAATCTCCCAGTGCTCCATCATTGGGGGGAGATGTTCCTTCCACCTTGCCTTTTTTAAAAATTCCCTAGATGCACAATGAGAAGTAAACAAAGATTAATAAAAACACTAATAGGCAGATTTACTAAATATGGGCAAATTAGCAATTAGACCAAAATCCAATAGATCGTAATCAACAGGTATGGTGTTAAATTATTTCAGTTATTTTAGGAAAAATGCTATTTTAAAAATTAAAAATTAAATTAAATGTATTACAGCAAAACCTGAAATTGCATGATTCATTTAAATACTTTACTACAATAAGTTTAGAGTCTGAAAGGTAAACTCCAATAAATGCATCTGCAATACAACCGGCCTCAAAAAATTCCAGGCCTTTTCAGTGCTAAATTTGTACCATGTGCCTTCTAAAATCTGTAATTCAGACAGAGGGTTTGTGCTTTTATTCTGGGTTCACACCAAACACAGAATTAGGTATTCACTAAAGTAAGTTAAATAGTTAGGATCTGCCTCAAATGAGGGTGGCGCAGTGGCGTAGTGGGTAGGGCTGTTGCCTTGCAGCTGGTTCGAGCATTAGCTGGGTCAGTTGGCATTTCTGTGTGGAACATGCATTTTCTTTCTGTGTTTGTGTGGGTTTCCTACGGCTGCTTTGGTTTCCCCCACAGTCCAAAGACATGCAGTATAGGTGAATTGAATAAAGTAAATTGGCGATAGTGTATGTGTGTGAATGAGTGTTTATGGATGTTTCCCAGCACTAGGTTGCAGCTGGAAGGGCATTTGCTGTGTAAAACACATGCTGGATAAGTTGGTGGATCATTCCGCTGTGGTGACCCCTGACGAATAAAAGGACTGAGCTGAAGGAAAATGAAATGAAAAGACACAAACCTTAGTGTCATGGGGCAGAGCAGCTCTCCTCCACTGCGCTCTCTCTGACTGCAGAGCAGATATTCTGGCTTCATACTGAGCAGCTGTTTCTGAAATGGGCAAAAACAGAGAAACTAAATATAAAGGAATTGAAACTCATATCCTGCTGCATCCAGTTCTTTGGGTAATGTTTAACTTCATGACACTGAAGCTGACTAATGGAAACTGCAACAGATTCAAAACCGCCTTACACTTCTAAATGTAACAGCTTATTAAACAATGCAGAGTCAGATTTTAATTTGCAGGATGCATTCGGCAGATGCTTTCATTAAAAGTGATTTAACTAACATTCAGGGCATACATTTTATCAGTTCATGCACTACCTCTGAATTGAACTCGTGACCTTGGTATTGCTGGCGCCATGCTTCACTGTTTCAGTTACATGACTCCGGTTGTTAAATGGATTGTGAAAAGCAAGTGCTGCGTGCAGAAATGGAGACTTTCAGAATCTGAATGCAGGGAGTTTAAATGAACAGCCTTGAATCTCATACAGAAATGAGTCTTATCACAAGTACTTTCTGATGCCACGTCAAAAAGCTCTGTACTTAAATTAATAATGATGATGACGAAAAAAGCCTTCATTTGCCACATACACTTTTACATGCAGCGAAATAGGACCCCTCCGACCATACACAAACATCACACATTTCTGGGGAAGACAGGTCAGACGAGAGGTGGCATAGGAAATAGTAAATAAGACACATTGGAAAAAAAAAAAAAAACTTCCAGACTGTCCTTAAAGTAGGACAGCGTGAGATCAGGAAAGCCAACAAGTACATAAACACATAGACATGTGGAGATATTCCAATATAGATGACAGCCATCTGGCCCTGCAGCTGAAATGTATGTATTATTTTAAGTGAAAAACATGTGAAACAACTTTCAATGTAGGGCTGCATAATATTGGTAAAAATCTGATATTGTGATATGCGACAATGAACTACAAAAGCAGCCTTATGTCACACAGGAATATCAAGGTAATGGCCAAAAATACATTGTGGGGGTCATAATTACTGTTTTTTTAATGCCAAAAGTCATTAGAATATTAAACAAAGGCTGCGTTAAATTAAGACTTTTTGTAAATTTCCAGCGCTTCACATTAGAAATGATTATCCATGAACATTATCATCATTCCTCCTCTTAAAATGCTGTCTAAAGTGTTTCTGTACTCTCAGATCAACATTTCATAATGACAAGAAATGTGTAAAAAGTTATTAAAAGTTTATCTTCTTACATTACATAGATTATATAACAGAATAATGATTTAGAATCACATGAACCTGTTTTATGTTAGCTTAATTGTTGCTTTAAAATAAGACTGAAATTTCTGACCACTTAACCATGCAACAATCTTCAGATCTTGAATCATTGATATTCCTCTTGATCCCAGCTTGTGTGTGCTGCATATTTGTCATCTGAACTTTAACACTGTGGTTAGTTTTATGTTTGCTGGAAGCTAAATATGTCATTACGTGTTTTTGGAAAAAAGAAGGACAGTCTTGGTGTATCTCAGTGGACAAAGGAGATGACCTCTTGCCTTACCTTAGAAAAGATTACCTTTTTTTTTGAAAATCAAAACTCATATATTTTGGTCTATTTGAAAAGTATTCTAAGACGTCTATGAGTCTAGATGGTGACTGTAAGCTGTGCCTCCCAAATCAGGACAGGGCGTACTGATGTCATCTGCTTCTATGACGTTTCAAGGAGATCAACACCTTTAATTTGCAATGAGCCAAAGTCTTTAAAGGGATCTATTTTCTTGGTCATGGGGGGATTTTGTGTTTGATGGCAGGTACTGCCGAGTCTCTTGCCAAGGCTACCTTGCCGGGACGTGGGCATGATGTTGTTGTGCGTGAGCGAATGACTGGGAGGAATAATTAGTGGTGCTGGGGCTTCCCCGGACCAAAGTTTTGGTGGCCGCTGTTGACTTTCCCAATGCTGTATCGCACGTCTGGAAGCAAGCAAGCGTGCCAGCAGCAGTGTTATATTGTTGCATGGTCTATTCCGTAACAGTATGTATTTTGTTCGCCAGGGGTTTGAGTGTGTTTGGTTTCTCCTGGCACTTGTATTGTGTTTGTGACTGGGGTTTGAGAGCAGAACTATTATCCTGTTTGTACATGAAATATCGAATGACGATGACTTGATATTTAGCTGGGGTGGTATTGACAGTAGCTTATGTTTGGAGTGCTGTGTGGTGTTTATTTATTGGTGTTACTGATGCTTTGATGGGTTTGTTATGTAAAATGTTGTATTGCACAATTATGGTTGATACCCTCTTGTTAAATGCCTTGTGGTTCTCATTTTAGCTACCTTAACCAATTATGCTAATTTAGTGTGCTAATATTCTTCATTTACAATGAATATTGTGAACATTGTATACCCTACCTGTTGCACCCCTTCTGTAGAATTGATATATATATATATATATATATATATATATATATATATATATATATATATATATATATATATATATATATATATATATAAAACAACCCTCAGATGTGTGCTTTAGCAGCACATTAGGCAACTCATTACCTCGCAGAGCCTCCTGTAAGGACTGAATCTCCTGGTCACACTGTTTTTGCAGGTCCTGCAGCTCCTCCTGTTTGCTTAGTTCGCAGATCCTCGCCACGCCCTGCCAATGCTCCAGCTGAGCTCTGCACTCGATTAGCTCAGCCTGCAGGTCTGATCCAGCTTCTGTTTGAAGACACATTCCCACAGAGAGAGGACTTTACAAACTCTGCTAAACACCCTCTCCCCTCTTCTGTTTTATTTTTAAAGATTCAAACAAAACAGCTGCATTATGTGTGAATACAGGTGCGTGACAGATAAGAGACACTCATGATGGAGCTCTATTAACGAGATGAATTTGCCAAAAGCAGATAAACCATAAAAGAGCAGGGTTTAATATGTCTAATGCTATTTAAGGTTTAAATTCTACACACACCATGTCAAGTGTCTTATTCTGATTATAGTCGAAAACACCTGTTGACCTCTGCAGAACTGTTTTTCCTCCATTTTTTCATCAATTTATTTAGCTGTTGCTGCTCTTTAATAAAATACAAGAGTGACCCAAAATCAACCCGCGTTCACAACTGTTATTAATGCATATGTGCTATGATGCAGCTCGTGCGCTTTAAGAGCCAGCGTTACGTGGTCAGACATTTGCCCTCAGAGCTCAACTGACCATTCCTAGCTAATATAATCGCAACACATCTCGGAATGATCGCCAAAATGTGTTTACATCGACACTTCACACACAGACAGACTGTAATAATGTAGCGGTTGTTCATACCGTCACGCTCGTCACTGCGCGACGCGGCTGCTGTTGTCGTGTCCGACACTTCCATGGCTTCACGTCATTTGTCTCGATATTTCCCTTTGGTTTCGTTATTCTTCCCTTCGCCCGCATCCGTCTTCCTTTTCCTGTGTGCAGTGCAGCAGGGCCGGCCTTCAGCAAACTGCGCCAAGAGTTCAGGAAACAACTTTCCCCGGTTCAGTCCTGCGGATGTTACCTAACCATCCTCCCTAGAGTCTCTCTCTCACACACAGGCACTCAACGTGTCTCAAACACTAGCGAGGGCACTAGAGTAGAGTGAGCGCGCAGCTCTGAGCTGTTCGTGTAGGCGCTCGTGATGCTGCCTAGAGAGGCAGCTGACATGATTTTGCTACAGTCCCAGAGAGGATGTGGGCGATACATGCGATCCCAAACATTTGTATTTGACAACTAGGCTATATGGTTTTGATGCAGTTGTTCTTCAAAACACTGCGACTAAAATTGTTGGGAATGTTGTTTGGTAATACATGCTTGAGTGAATCAAATGTATTAATGTATTTAAATTACATCTAGTTTATTAATAAAATGGATATGTTTTGGAGGGATATTTATTTAGTGACTACTTTAGAGGTTACTTTGGGTGAAACTATACAAATTATTAATGTTTCTTTTTTTTTAAGCTACATGCAGATATAAACACCTATTTTATTGTGTTTTGTGAACACTTTAAATGTCTATCGGTGCTGTCGAACTGTCAGACTGCTGAATGATTTTTTCTTAATAATGATTGGTGCGATTATGCATTCACAATAGTTTGCACCATTATATTTGTGATCAAATGTATATGTATATTATACTTTTTAAATATTAATATTTAAGAAATAGATAAGAGAAAGCCATTTCATACTATTAAATACACCCCATATTGAAAATGAATATTTGTATCCATTTCTCAGTGAATATACTGTAGGCCTTATATTTTGGTGCATTTGAACAAAACAAATTTATTAAACAAATATATTTAATAAAATAATGTCACAGAACACATTTAGATATGGAAAGATAATACAAAGCAAAATAAAGAAAATTTTTGTTTTACATACTATAAAATGTCAACAATATAAAATTTTTTGTTTCTCTTGATTTTTGCTCTGTTATTTGTTTAAATATTTTTTTCTATAACATGAATTTGGGCTACTAATTGTTGGACTGTTATTGTTAACTATTTTGTTAGATAAACTCCAGATTTGGCTTCAGTACTGACTAATCTAATGTAAATGCACAAATATAATATTGTATAGCTTCATAAAAATATGAATTTAAATAAGAGATTTGTGAGGGGTGTACTCATATACTGAGCACTGCACATACTGTATACTCTTATGCAGAACCATTTTTTGTCTGATTAAGTAAAAATGGCTACCTCTGTATTTGACTATTACATTTACATTTTAACTACATTAGTGATCACTTCTTTATAAATGAAGGAGGACTTGTTCGATTATACAAGATGCAATTCAGTCCAAACATTTCACGTCATACAAGGTGAACCGGTTTGGTCAGTTCATTACAAAAGAACCGACTCTCAAGAATAGTTCCATTTCACAACGCAGTGTGGCTTGCCAGTTCCACACTCTATTTATGCTTAATATAAAAGCATTATGTGATTCAATATTTTTAGAGGAAAAAGATAAACGTTCAGATTTAATCAAATCAATAGTTTACCATATTCTCTTTTTCATGAAAAATGTCATTTTAATATTGGATTTAACCCGAAACACAAACATGTTTACAGAATGAATATGAACACACACACACGCACACACGCACACACGGTACAATTCCCAAATTAATAAGCTATATTATATATAGCTTTCTAAAATGTAAAACTATAGGGAAAACATTATTTGGAACTCTTCAGTTTTAAAAATCAAATTTTAAGCTATCTCCATTTTTCATTTGTTAAGCAAATAGCTTTTAGTTTGAGTAATTCTGCTTCCAAACTGTACTTAAGTGATATATTTCTTCAGTATTTGTCTTGTGCAAAAATGTCTAAAGATTTCAGATGATTTGACATTGTTTTGTTTTCTGTGTAGTTGTTTAAAATAGACTGGTTATTTAAAGAAAAAATTGTTCCAATTGGCCAAGAAAAGTATGGTATATAAAAATGGCATCTATCTGCATTTAAAGGGGTGGTCAACTACAATATCATATTTCAAACTTTATTTAATGTGTAATGTAGATGTGTGAACCTAAACAACATCTCTGAACGTAAGACGCTCTAAGTTCAGTGCAAAGGGAGACATTGGCTTTTACAGAGTTAGTTTAGCAAAGCCTACAGAGAACAAACTTTGAGAACTACAAAAAATGACATTCTGGTGAGTGAGATCACAAATGTTACACGAATTCACCACGCACATACACCCGGCACAGCGAAGGGGCATGGCCAGAGACACTGTAATGTTATAGCAGAGAAAGCTAAAAGGCCGTCCTAAAGCTGCTATTTTCACATAGATTGTTCCGTTTCTGTATTTGGGCTTCCAAAGGACACGACACAAAGAGAGAAGTGCTTACAGTGTAATTTTAATTATGTTCCAGAGAATTATAAAAAAAATAATAATGATTACAGCTAGCATTTGACAAAGGAGAGCTTCCAGAATCTCTATCAGTTGGATTTGGCTAAAAACTCCTACAACCAACAAAGCTGTGAATTGCGAGACACAACCTGTAAGTACTTACATGTGTTAAATTTTTGATCTATTACATGCAGTTTCTAGTGTTAACTGTATGTAGTGGCAAGGAAGTAAACCAGGATGTAAACAACAGGAAATGCTTTTCCGCACCGCTAACAATTTAGCTAAAAATTCATATTTATCCATCAAACAGCTGTAAACATCAACAATCTTCAGCAGCTCTGCAGTGTCTCCCTATGTAGCTTCTTTCTCTACGCTCTACATCTCAAATAATGAAACATATGTGAACGTTTCATATTACTTACACATGCTTATAACCCCAATATATGTAAAAGACACTTCTCAGGTTTTATTTTAGAGAGCAAGCGTGAGCTTAAGCAGTGTCCTCAGTGTCATTTTTAGTCCGATTTAGGCTCAAACTGATATGGCTAACAGCTACTCTGGCTGGCAGTGTTTACACAGCGTAAAATCAAGTGCTTGAAGGTGTGTAACGCTTTTCCTGGTGATGTGGAGCCGATCCGCGAATCACAGCACATTATATTAGCTGACCAATCAGAGCCTCTTAAGGGCAGGCCTTCGGAGGAACTAGGAAATATGACAGTCGTTTTCAAGTTAGCTGAGTAGCTGTATACAAGCAAAATTATATGAAAAAAAAATAACTTGATGTTCTACAAATCAAGCATGAGCGCACATCGCTTTGCATCTTATAAACACAACCTTAAAAATACACTCTGGACCACCTCTTCTAGATATTTCTTGTTATTTTAAATCTTTTAAAAAAACAACTTCATTTGTAAAGCCAAACTGAAATACCAAGGAACTTACTTTAAATTGAAGACCTTTTTATGGCCATAAAAAAAAAAATAGCATCTGGAAAAGTCTGATAGGAATAAAACAAACTAGTATGCTCATACACACGCAACAGATCTCATCTGAAATTCCTCAGAGGATTAGGATGTTAACCTTGACCTAGTCAAGCATCTCATTTTGACAATCTCTAAAAGTCACATGAAACCAAACACATATTTATTAAGTTTTATTATCATATCAGCTACAAGTTGACATAAAAATGTAGGAAACCATGGAATACAAAAGTCAGCTTCAATATTTCTATTAAAATTGACAATAATGTGATTAAACACCAGGAGTCACTACAATCTCATGCCACATACTGTATGAAGAGCTGCTCATTCCTCAGTCATTGTGGTAATTTACCATACAAAACAGGAGCATTATAAAGCAAAGAAAGAGGATTACATTAAAAAACTGTTCATGCTAAACATGATATTTCAGAGCTATTCTCATCATGTGGCTCTTCCATTATAAACCTTTACAGTACTAGCGTAACATTGTGATGAGACTAAAATGAATAAAACACAGTATTGGTCCACAGCTCCATCATTAATTAGTGCTGGAAGACAGAGCTCACACAAGTAACCAAGTGCCCTTAAAGTAGCTTATCTGTGTCCGTTGTGTAACAGGAATGATTAGATGCAGTTTAGTCGTACTTCTGTGTGTTTTATTCTACCTCTTCAAATGCTGGACGCCTATATTCTCCTTCAGTTCATGTCCTGATCTCCCACACTCTGACGCAGGTACTCTTCGTAGAGTTTTTTCTGCAGTAACATGCAGGAGAATCATTAGTCATGAGGCAGTCAACACTCTAGCAGTTTTGTATGTCAATTTAAATGCAAACTATACCTTTTTGGTCTTGACCACCTCTTGGACATACTCCAGTTTTTCCTGAAGTTGTCTCTTTTGTTTCCCAGAGAGAGTCGGTTTAGTTCTAAATATGGTAAGAGGAGAGAAAGAGCTCATGAGTACTGTTTAGCACAATGCTGAAGCTGTTCTTTCCCATAAAATGGCACTATATCATGTTTGCTGCATGACTGATCGATTACTATATACCAATAATTCATAGTAGCTAGGAGTAGAGATGAGCAATTTGGCCTAAAATATCTCTATTAATTGAACATTTTAACTCTATTATGATTATTGAATAATTATTTATTTATTTTTATTTTTTTCCCCCTCTCTACGCCACCTACACTCATCAATGGTACCAAGCTGACCAATCACAGATCTTGCGATATGTGTTGTCGTATCAGCATCAGTAACAGCGATAGGTATGCGAACACATTAATACGCTGCGCTCAACGTAGAAATGTAAACAGAGCGGGGTTACGTGACTCCACGGTAGGAAAAGTAATGGAAAAAAAATTGACCTGGAAAAATTTGATCGATTACAGGTTCTAAATGTTGATTTCAATTAATCGCCCAGCCCAAGCTAGGAGGATGTTTGACTGTTCCAATTCCACTAAAGCCAATAAATGGCTACAGGATTTCAATTCTTCTCAGCAAATATATGAAATACTTAACTAAAAACAACACAAAGGAAATTTAAATATATACACAATACAAAAAACAATAACAAATGAAGAGTATTCCATAGACATGCTAAAATAAAAAAGAAATAGGATGTTTAACGTCTTTGTGAATACTTTGGAAATCTCAACTTGTGCTACACGCATGAACACTTTGAATTGGGTGTGCAAATGTCAAATTTTCCTTTTTGGTGGAATTGACTCTTTAACCTACTGACCCTTTAACCTAATTTTCAGCTGCAGAAAAAAATAATACATAGATAAATAAATAAAATATTTTTGTCTAAATAAGAAATTGCTGAAAATGAGGTGAAAAAAAAAGACTAATAATAACACACACACCCCAGCAGTGTCGAGCTCCCTCCAGCTCTAGTCACTGAACGGTGTAAAGCAGCTTTAACACAAACCAAACCTTGGACATTTGTGTGTGTGCCATGGTCAAAGTTCAGAATTCTGATCTGTTGATATATACAGCTTATGTATTTTCTCCCCTCTGATTTTATGTTAAGGTCAACAAAATGTGGTTATGTTGTTGGCTAGTAGAGCTGTGCAATTAAACAAAATTCATCTGTTTACATCTGTTTGGACATATGGCTCATTGATAATAGTGATAACATTTATGACCAAAATAATCATACGACCAATTTAAATCATAATTATGATTTTTCCCATAACCCAGCAGTCCTATTGGCTACTGTAAAGGAAAAAGAAAACGATACAAAAGCAGTAAAAAAATTTTGATCATGTGCATCCAGAGTTTTTAGTTTCAGCCATAAATTTTAATTTCACATCCATAAATGTCTGCATAATCTCTTGTTCCTCACCTGAAAGAGAAGCGAGCAAGCAGCAGAAGGATGAAGGACAACAGCACCAGTCCAGCACAACTGTACAGCTGCACTTCCACAGACAGCGACTCAAATGCCTTCACTGCCGGAGCCTGATCACATGAACCCACACCAACGTCAGTGTCTACTGAGAATCCCCCACACACGTAAATAAATGCATACTGTATATGTTCACTAACCACATATAGTGAGAGCGCCTCTGTGCCACTGTCACCCAGCATCAGCACCAGTATGTCTTTGGAGAGGCTGCCAAGTACCAGGACAACAAGCAGCAGCAGGGGCACAATAAAACCCATCATGCCCAGCAAACAGCCTTTAAAACGTGCTCGACGGTTCTCTATGCTGCACTGCCTATTGGGAGCAAAACATGGGATGACAATTGTAAAAGAAGACAGAAAATATGTGGTGAAAAAAAAAAATCAAGACCGATCCTTGAATAAATTCAGAGCATTTTTTTTTTACAGCACATGGAGCTTTATGCTTTACAAACAGCCACACGATGCAGGCATCCAATTCCTTATGAATACCACTTAAACCTAAAATAATCAAGAATAAATTTAGGATAGTATTAAATGAACCAACTATAGCCAGACACACAAGCACTCTTTCTTGTAAGCAATAAAGTGCACAGTTAAAAACAAGGCAAATAATCATCTGCTTTTAAAAAACGAAGCTCACAATCGTTTCAAGACAGAAGAGAGATGGACTTTGACAATTTTAGAATCGATTTCTCAAATGATTTTGCACGCCAGCTCTAGTACAGCATTTAACATGTTCCTAAAGGCACACCAACAGTTCACATTTCAACCTCTTCCTAATCAAACACACCTGAATCAACTTATTAGAACATTAGAAGAAACTTGAAAACCCTGAAATGAATGGTTCAGATAGAGGATCCATCCAAAACATATACTGTTGGTGTGCATCCAGGAACATGGTTGGGAAACACTGCTCTAGTAGATGGTGTCAATCAAATAAACATTAGCATCTGAACATTTATATGGATGCAATCTTATAATACAGTACCTGTCATTCTGAAGTGTCTCAGTGACGGCCTCTGTGATGAGGTTACAGTCCTTCTCCAGAGAGTTAAGCGTGTTCTGCACAGTCTGATTAATGGTTTTCTCTATGGTCCGACACACATCATCAATCTGATTAACACACCGGCTGGGCTGATGGTGGAGATGGTGAGGAGAAATATTTGGTTTTTATTTCATTAGAGACAACAGTTAAAGTTCACATTGAATGAAATAGTGTGGAGGAGAAAGGTTTATGATACCTTATTAGGGTTGGGAACGTAGATAGTGGGCATGTCGAAGCCACACTTATTGAGTCCCGGACGTTTACAAAGCTCCTGCACAATCTGCATCATAACTCTCTGAAAGAGCCAATAATAGAGTAATCATAACACTGTTTTAGCACAGAGAAAGATTTTTTATTTTTTAAAAAGGAAAAAAGAATGAGAAACTGGATGGAGGATAATGAGAAACAGCAGGAAAAGCAGCAACAGGAGAAGCAGGTGAAGAAAGAGGAGAAGGCCAAAAACAAGAAGTAGTAAGAAAAGGATGAGCAGAATGAGAAGCAAGAGAAGGAACAGGAGTAGAAGCAACAGGAAAAGAGGCAGTAGAACCCAGACTAGCAGGAAGACAAGAATGAGAAGGAGCTGCAGAAGAAATAGAAGAATCAGAAGAATGTAAAAGAAAAACAATAAGAGGAAAAAGGAGGACAGGGCATCAAAATATCAGATCATATCAGAATGATTTCTGATAAATTGACACTGAAGAATAACAATGCTGAAAATGAACATCCATCACAGGGATAAAATTGTTTGCTTTTGAACCAGTGGTGGGCAAACTCGGTCCTGGAGGGCTGGTGTCCTGCATAGTTTAGCTCCAACACTAATCAAACACACCTAAACATGCTAATCAATGTCTTCAAGATTAAGCTGCGTTCACACTGGGCTTTTCCTCCCATAGACTTCCATTCATACACACGCAAATTCATCAGAATGTGTCAAGTTTTCGTCAGAATGGGTCATGCGTCAAGTTTCGCAGGTTGCTGCAGTGCAAAGTTCAAGCTTGGTGAACTCTGACCTGCGAAATCGCATCACTTGACTGCGTGAGACCAACCGAGGATCAAAACATGACCTCTCTGGACAGAAATTTAAAACGTGGAGCAATCGCTTGCTTCTTTAAATGTCTAATAAGCTTGTTTAATCCCGCCCCTTTTCAAAGCGCCGTACGCCAAAATATCGCATGCTCAAACTCTAATGAGACCGCAGCTTCACTAGAAATCTAGAAGCAGGTTTGTTTGATTAAGTTGGAGCTAAACTGTGCAGGACAACGGCCCTCCAGGACCGAGTTTGCCCACCTGTTTTAAACTATTATAATATTATTTGTACATTGTTACTTGTATTATAATATTGAATTGCAGTCATGGTGAGCACATAGAATTATTAGAACAGCAATGTACATGCAAAACAATAGGAGTGTGTATAGGCGTATTTTACCTGTCGATCAGACTCTCCTCCAGCCTCATCAGCTTTACTGAGATAAAAACGGAGCCGGTCGCCTTGTTTGTCATTCAGCTTCTCAACAATGTTGAGCGTGCGCTTGCATAAAGCCTGTCCCATTGGGTCAAAGAAGACCAGGATCAGGTCACACAGCTCACCTAATGCAGAAAGGCAGAATAGTTCAAATAGAACCACAAAATTACTATTAATATTATAAGCAGCATTGTCAGATGCAACCTTAATCAGTGCGTGTTAAACTACAGTAAACATGTAAAACATGCATGACTACACAAAAAAAACACCAAGTATTGAACACGCATTACAAGACAAACACACACCGAGCCACAGAACAGCCTGGTCAACGTCAAAGGGATACTTCATATCTCCATCCACAAGACCAGGAGTGTCAACAAAAGTCACCAAGCTGAAACGTTTCTGCCGTGAAGTACAAATCTCAGTGCCGAGGTATTCTGACACTCCTAAAATTGAGAAAATAGCATTTTATGCACAGATTCATGGCAACTTGCTAAGCAAAATGGCTTTACATTTATTGCACTTTACAAAACTCAAACCTTTAAATTCTTGCAGGGGTTTGAAGTGCGGATACAGATGGAGTGTTGCATTTCCCTAAAACCCAAGACAAGTGGTTGTAGATAAGGGGTTATAGTCAAAGATGTTTACATTAGAATACAGTAGTCAACATTCAAAGTGGATCGAAAAAGTTTTTCCAAATTGTCCCAAGACAATAATGGGTGTTGTAAAATTGTTTTAGGACAACTTGAATGGTTTTGATCCACTTCAATTGTTGACTACTGTACATTTTCATTTCATATATCTTCATGTCCACATAGCATGAAATAGTGTGGAGTAGTTTGTTTTTTTATTAATATAAAAAAATGGAAATTGCATGAAAGATGCATGAAATCTTAAAATATGCATTTTAAATTGGTAAAAATATTATAGAGAAAAAAATACCAAAGAAACTCAAGTGACTCTGATTAAACAGCTCATTGACCACCATCAAAACATGTCATGTTATCATTATGTTTGGAAGGCTAGCCATGTCCACTTTTTATAAGCAGAAGTTAGCTTAAGCTAATTTTATTCAAGTTAAGCAACTCAAGTTAACATGTTTGTGGCTTATTTAAAAGTATTTAGAAGATTAAGTAAAATCTGGTCAAGCTAATGATTTAGGTAGAGCCCTTTTTGGAAGTTAGTTTGATTGTAAAATGTGGTTCTTTCTTTAGTAAATTAGATTAAGCACCAAAATGTGAACAGAATGTTTCATAGATACTCTATTTACAACTTTTATGGAAAATCAAATAGACAAATTTATGCCTCCAATAAAAATACAATGTATAAATCATATTTACAGTGAGTGACTCCCTCTTTCGCCCACTGGTAACAAAGCTGAAGCCCTGGGTCTCAATAGCAACTCCTGTCCTTTGGATATGCTCCTCCACATACCTGCAAACAATAAATCAACAGTTTAAAATCTAACTGTTCTGCTCTCTCAGTCTCACACAAACACCAATTTGCATATTCTGATTTAATGCACTAATTCCACTGATGCACGTCAGCGTACCAATTGATAAAGCTGCTCTTTCCAGCTGAGTGGTTCCCCATCAACATCACAGTTATCTTCTTCCGGGGAGGCAGCAACGTCACCCCAACAGTTTGAGCGATTTTTATTAGTCCTACAAGAATAAGGAATAAGTGGTTAAGCAAACTGGACTTGAAAGAAAGATTTTTTAAAACAAATAGAATACCTACCCTATAATGCACTCACTTACAAAACATAAACAACAGGCTGGACTCTAGAGCACAATGTTTGTCACTTAATGATGCATGTGTGGAGTTTGTTTACAACACAGAGGAAGGACATGCATGTTCGTATTGTTCATTAAAATAGTACCCACTTATACTGTATGTTGTGACCTATATAAGAAGTACAAATACATTTGTGTGAACAATCTTAATTGGGAAGACTGACTTCTCTCAGACTCCCAACATCGAAAACACCTCATTATATACACATGACTCTGGCCTGGGCCACAATACCATGTCTTAATTGCACAGGTATATTATTGGCAAGATATAAAAATATATTGCACGGGTTAGAATGACATTTTGTTTCAATTTTTTATTATAAAAAGATCAAAACACAATATTTAAATTTCTCTTTTGATTTCTGATTTCACATTTTTTCAAATTGCTGTATCTAGGCCAAATAACATCTACAACAAATATATATCATGACAATCTATACAACTATACACTATTATTCTTTTATAACTTTTATTCAGCTTTCAGATGTAATATAACCAATCCAATAATAATTATAATAATAATAATAATAATAATAATAAATAAAATAAATGTACTCTTATGACTTTTTCGGTAACTTAAGTGACATGAATAAACATACTGTACATAGAGCAGCTTTGCACAGGTTGTGCATTAAAAATTTTATATTTTTGTAGATTATTATTATAAATTTTATTTTACCAGGAAAAGCACCTTGCGATTAAAAAAATCTTTTTTAAAAGAGTGGCCTGGCACACATTCACATGGGTTTAACAGACAAACAAACAAACAAAAAAAAACAAATAACCGGTAACCTCAATCATTCATTCATTAAAACACACATACAATGACAGTTAAACTAAACTATTCAGAACATCTACAGGCCAACATTTCAAACTCCAAATCATTTAAAATCTTTTTAAAGCATGTAGTGAAACCAATTATTTAAACTGCAACCCATTATTCCATGCAAAATGTGCTGCATATTCAAAAGCCCTTTTTTCCATACAATCTCCAGTGTTTTTCTAGATAATTTCCAGTTCATTTATTTAGAGCAATTAGTTTACATCATAAAACCTCTAAATATAATAAGGAGCAAATGGAATTAATCATGCAGTGCCAATAGTTTTTTGGGCTCAAACTTCCTTTGACTAGCATTTTGTTAATCTCTGATGACTATGGTTTCAGCCAAAACCTTCTTTAAAAGGATAGCTATCCCAACAATCTAAATTTGATTACCATTTACTCTCTCTCCCAAAAAAAACTGAAAATCTGTAAACACTGACTTTCATAGTATTAGTTTCTCGTACTATGAAAAAGTCAATTGCTACAGGTTGCCATCATTTTTCTAAATATCTTATTTTGTGTTGAACAAAAAAAAGAAAATAATGAGGCTTGAAACAAGTGAATAATGAATAAATGATGTCAGAATTAAATGTTTTGGGTGCACTATACATTTAATTTTCGACTAAAGAGGGTCTATATGTCGGATTGAGATCTGAGGGAGAGTAAATTAGAAATCATAAATTAATACAAAAACTTATTTTACTTAGTCAAAAATAAAACAAAAATATTGCATCTATTGAATTACGCAATTATGACTGCAATAAACTCAAACAGCTGAAGTGCCTCTGGCAGTCTGAAGTAAATAGCTGACATACCAAACCGGCATTTTAGCTCATCGGCTACCGTTAGCAACTCTCACCCAGCCCTAAGGAGACTTGCCTTAACTTATCACTGAACAAACCAAATAACTGAATCTGAAAGAAGCAGTTTATAAAAAGAACGGTTTCTTACCGCTATCCGGGTCGATGTACATCTGATGGCAGTCCCTTAAGATGCGCTCGTCACAGGACACACTGCCAGAGATTGAGTCTGCATTGGCAGCACTCCTGCTTTTGATTTTCCCGGACATAGTGATGTAAAATTGCGGGCTCTAAAAAAGCAGCGTAGATTTAATCATATAAATAATAAACCAGGCTGGTAAAATACTACGAAAATAAAGAAATAGGATTAAATACTACTCACAACCGAATGAAGTTCAAATCACCCCGGTCTGCTGGGTAACGCTGGCCACGTCACCGGTGTTCGCAATGTCTAGTGGGAGTTGTAGTCTTTATGATTGCTTTTTTTTTACCTCTCGGTCTGGTTTTGAGATAATTAGAGCAGAAAAGCTGTTTCTTGTTTCCCGTCTTGTTTATTTATAAACCATGTCGTCTACAGACCATTATATAACGAGTAATCATTTGGCAGTTGTGCCCTTTGTACTTTAGAAGCTTGTGAAGTGCGCCATTAATAAAAAAAACTGGGGTATGAAGATAACGTTAATTTTTTATAAATCCAGCCAAGAGAAACTGACGATATGACACAATTTAATCTTGACCCTTATACAATACAATTTCATGTATTTATTGTAACATAAATGAGCATATTTCATGTCTGAATTATTATTTTAAACATATTTTTACAGCCTTATTTATTATTTACTATTATACAGTTACAGCCTTATTCCAACATGGATTAAATTAATTTATTTCCTCAATATTCTACACACAAAACCCCATAATGACAATGTGAAAAGATTTTTTTACATTTGTTGCAAATTTATTACAAATAAAAAAGCTGAAAGATCACATGTACAGAAGTATTTACAGCCTTTGGCATGAAGCTCTAAATTGAGCTCAGGTACATTCTGTTTCCACTGATCATTCTTGAGATGTTTCAGCAGCTGAATTAGAGTTCAAATTTGGGAAATTAATTTGACTGTACATGATTTGTAAAGGCATACACCTGTCTATATAAGGTCCCAGGGTTGACAATGCATGTCAAAGTACAAACCAAGCATGAAGACAAAGGAATTGTCTGTAAACCTCCGAGACAGGATTGTCTCGGGGCACAAGGCTGGGGATGCTTACAGAAAAATTTCTGCTACTCTGAAATTTCCAATGAGCACAGTGGTCTTCATCATCCATCAGTGGAAGATGTTGAAACCACCAGGACTCTTCCTAGAGCTCGCCAGCCATCTAAGCTAAGTCATGCAGGTGATCAATAACCTGATGGTCACTCTGTCTGAGCTCAGCGTTCTGTGGAGAGCGGAGAACCAAAGGACAACCATCTGTGCAGCAATCCACCAATCAGGCCTGTATGGTAGAGTGGCCAGACAGAGGTCACTCTCTGCCTGGAATTTACCAGAAGGCATCTGAAGGACTCTCAGACCATAAGAAACTAAACTCTTTGGTCTGATGAGACTAAAATGTAACTCTCTTTAGAAAACGGCATGCATTACATTTGGAGAAAAAAAGGCACCGCTCATCACCAGGCTAATACCATCCCTACAGTGAAGCATGGTGTCAGCAGCATCATGCCGTGGGGATGTTTTTCAGCAGCAGGAACTGGAAGACTAGTCAGGATAGAGAGGAAGATGAATGCTGTAATGAACGGAGACATCATAAATGAAAACCTGCTTCAGAGTGCTCTTGACCTCAGACTGGGGCGACGGTTCATCTTCCACCAGGACAATGACCCAAAGCACACCACCAAAATATCAATGGAGTGACTCCACAACAACTCAGTGAATGTCCTTGAGTGGCCGCGCCAGAGCCCAGACCTATATCCCATTGAACGGATCTGAAAATGGTTGTAAACCATCGCTTATCATTCAACCTGATAGGGCTTGAGAGATACTGCAAAGAGGAATGGGCAAAAATTCCCAAAGACAGGTGTGCCAAGCTTGTGGCATCATATTTAAAAAGACTCGAGGCTGTAATTGCTGCCAAAGATGCATTAACAAAGTATTGAGCAAAGGCGGTGAAACAAATGTGGAAAAAGTGAAGCATATGTATGTATGTGTGTGTGTGTGTATACATACATACATACACACATACATATATATATATATATATATATATATATATATATATATAGAGAGAGAGAGAAAGAGATACTGATTGTTTTTTATTACTTTTTTATCCTAAAATGTTGATTGTTAAATGTAGTTTTATTCTGATTAATTTTTTATTGTTATAAATGAACGATATATTGAATAATAACGTGATATATTGCATAATAATGATATATTAAATATGATATATTATTTACATTTAATTATGTATATTTATCTTTTTTTACGACTACAACTACTACTGTTTACTATGTCTTTTTTTATGATATATGTATGTTCTAAAACTTTAGAACTGCTTTGGCATTACATTTGTAACATTTGTCATGTCAATAAAGCAATTATTGAATTGAGAGAGAGAGAGAGACACGCACTCACAACTTCCTAACAATTTAAAAGCATATGTAAAATGTAATGTTAAATATGCTGTGCAAACAATATTTATTGAATGTCTGTGCATTGAAAATGTCAAGTAAATGTTCTTATTTATTCATAGAATTGTGTTTAAAGTGTACATTGTCTACAATCAATACTTTAGAAAAGAACCCATTTTAAAAGTTAACATTTTCCCAACCTAACTTCAGTGAAAAAAAAAAGCATGACAAGAGTTTTCCATTTACCCCATACTTTAATGTAAAGAATTCAGGTTAATGTAATACACTTTAATGGTTTAGCATTCAAAGAAATACTCAGCTACACAATCATAACACATCTGCATGGCATGTCTGCTCTAACATGATCAGATCAATGTCTCTGTACATGCTGCTCAACGTTAGATTACAACATTTTTCATACACAAAATGCAGGAAATAAGAAACATAAAAATGAATATCCCAATGACATCATATCAGCTGTAACTAAAGTGTCTTTAAGAACATCAGTCGACTGTGGACAATCTCTTCTATAGCCAATAAGCCTGTTCGCTTACACAAACTTATGAGCAGATGTTCATTAGTCGGGATCCCTCAGCGACTTGGTAAATTAAAAGATGAATTCAACCGAAAGAACTGAATTTGGAGGCATGAATCATCCTTTAAATAAACTCTCACTCACACATATTGCACATAATCCTCTCTAAGCCACATACGCACGCACACACACGCGCACACACATACACAGAAAAATTAAACTTGCACTACCTCGTTCAAAAAAACTCGTTCTCTAAAGTAAAAACGATTCGAATAAAAAAAGGATCTTCAAATTTGATCATATATCGTCCAAACCTCATCAATTGCACTTAATCTGGAGAATTTGAGGGCTAACGTCAAAATCCCAACAAAAATCAAGAAATCTTCAAAACTGGATTTAAGTGGATCATAAGATATTAGCACAGCTTCTCTAAAGCATGCCTCGCACACAAACACACATGTAAAAAAATATACAAACAAAACAACCCAAGACCCCCTCTCTGAAAAACTGGTGCATTGGGATATCAGTGTGGAAAAAGGTGCTCACAATAGTAATGTACATCATAAATGGATATATATATACAAATAAAAAAAAGCATATTTCATGTCGATCTTGAAGAAGCTGCAAGCGGTGACAGCAAGTTAAATACAAAGCTTCAGTCCCAGCCATTATCCTTAATCATGTGAGATAATTCAATTATAAACTTGCCCTCCTTATACTTCTGGCTCAACTCAAAGGCCTGCTCCTGTAGAGAGAAGAAGAAAAAAAAACACCACAAAGTGTGATCAGACTGTATGAGGCAACAAATAAAGCCTTTTGGCATCGGTTCTGTTAAAACAAATCATACTCACGTATTTCCAGCCCAGTGTGGTGTGGCAATTCTCACAATAAATATCAGCCACAGCATGAAGACCAGTAAGCAGCAGCCTTTCTTCAGCTGGACCACAACCTACGTTCACCCTAAAAACACAAAATCACAAGCAAGTTAAAATGTAGCCTAGTCGTGACTTAAAAGAACACTAAGTTACAACTCACGCACAACTAAATAATTTAGTGTTGCACCACTAAATTTAGTTTAAACGTAACGCTACGTCCCAACCATTTACAACAGCCTTCCTCCATGTATAACGGCAGAAAAGAGATGACAGCGAGATTAGTTTACATTGAGGAGCTCACGATATTAATGAAGAATGATTTCCCTCTACTCACAGCCTTATTTTCCTCCTAAATCTTGCATTTCTTTTAGTTTGGAAAAGAGTTTCATTCAATAAGTGTTTTGTATCAAGTATCCAATAATTAAAATGAGAATTTCTTCATGACGGAGTTCTTCTCCCTGTTCTTCTCTCTTCCGTGTGTGTGTGTGTGTGTGTGTGTGTGTGTGTGTGTTTTTAATGTAAATTTACTGGGCAATCGTGGTTTGCGATACAGGAATGCGCATTTGTTATAGTGACTGGCTGTAATGTTCTATAAAAACATAATTTGTCAATTCATTTTCAAAGGGTTATTAGTAGATGCATTAGTTGAATCTTAAAGCAGTTTAACGATTTAAATGATTTTTATTGGATATTACGTTATTCATTGTGGCTACACATGACTTTAGATAGGGCTGGGTGATTTGACCAAAAATCAAAATATCGATTAATTGAAGATTTGAACTCAATTACGGTTAAAGAACAGTTTTTTATTTATTTATTTATTTGATGTCTTGTCTTCATAGTTCACTGACCATTTTTCTACAGTTAATATGCTCACACATTACAAGTGAGAGATTTCTGAATGAAGGGTGCATAAAATAATTGAAGGAAACACACACTGTCTACTATCTATGATTATTTATTGAACATCAACGTTGAACAACTGAAATTAAAACACACATTGCCTAAAACACGACTCTCCGCACCACCCATCCTTGTCACCGCTACCAAAGCGACCGATCACAAAGCTTGTGCCACATGTCTTTGTGATGTAAAATTACATTTTAAAAAGGTGTGTGGGTATGCGAAAGGCTGCACGTGTCCTTGGCAGAGGTATAATATCAGGATAATATTATATTATGATTTATACTTATTATGAATATGAATTAGTCCCGACGAAGCAGGTACATGTGACTCCACAAACAGTAGGGAAAGTAACTGAAAAAAATGTACCAGGAAAAAAATGATCGATTTTAGGTTTTGAATGTAGATTTTTTATTACTTTTCAATGAATCGCCCAGACCTAACTTTACGGATAGCTTATGACCTACTACCTACGGTTTGCCTTAACATGTGGTAAAATCGAAGTAAGAACAAATTTAGTAATAAACTAGCTAATAGTTACTAAGCCACTAGTGTGGACTTTACATTCCAGTTCAATTAAAGGACTATCTGGTAAAGCTGGTGGAACCCTACCCAGTAAACCAACTATTTCATAAATTACAATGGGATCTCATTTTTATAAATGCACCAAGCTAAATATTTGCTTCAAAATGAATCAGGCCACATTTACAACTGGTATTAAGATTAGGCGTGATATTTTTTGTTGTATGATATATTGTACTAAAATATTTTGCAATAACCAGTATTACTGTCATTTTAAGCCACTCATTATATAATGCCTGAATGACAATATAATATCATCACAATGCAAGTACACTCAAAGAACACGTAACATTTTATTTTTAAGAATGTTAAAATTAATTATAGTCAATTTAGTCTTTGGAATCAAAGTGTGAAAACGCAAATCCTACATAAATAATAAATGTTAACATTAAAGTGCAAGGTAAATAGTAATCGAGCCTGCAACATCTGCTACCAGATCTATTTGCAGAATCAGGCACCCACATGAAAACATTAAAAACAGAAATATGACACCTCCATTAGAGATAAAGAGATTGCGCAATCAGCTAAAATGTTGCTAGAATCAGTGATGTATGAGCAATATATATTGCTTCACCAAAAATGACTGAGGTCATGTCCATGTGTTTTGCGACAGGTTGATATATTGATTATTGTGACGAGCCTAAATAGGATATTTTTATTTTGTTATTTCGATTACAAGTGGACAAACTTAAACGGGTAAAAAATGAAACATTTTTAGCTTGTCCACTTTAAATCACTCACACAGACTTACAAAAACACATTCAATAGGATTTCATTCATTATATAATCCTACAATCTCCCTGCCAACATAACATGTTGTTATTATGAGATGTAGTCAAAGCACACCACAACAAGGTATTCATACTATGCGGTGTTTCACAAAAACACACCAATAAAACTAACTAAATTGATGTTGCCATTATAATCCTTTTAAACCGCTTGCCAATTTTCTGACAAAAAAAAAAGTGCATAGGTTTCACTTTGCTTTGTGGAGTTACTAAATTACTCAAATAGAAAAAAGGTTATGCAACAGACATTATACAACTCTGTGCCTTTGTGGAGTTAAGCAAGTACTCGATTAAGTTTGTTATGCCCTTTTGCATGCTATAGACTATGCTTATGATTTAATAATGGTGAAAAATTGGACGATAAATATGAACAGCTTATATATAAGTAATATAAGTAAATATAATAATAAAAAAGACCTTGTGCTTAGTTCCAGTTAGTAATAAAGGAACCCATCAAAAGGCAAAAAGAGAAGTTCATCTTAAAATTTGAAAGAAGTCATACTCACACAGAATTGAACAGGTAGGCTCGTCCTTGACTGCCTTGAAAGGACTGCAAAAAGACAGATACGTGAGCCTTTAATGCATAACACATCTTGCTGTAAACGTGCCACAAGTCACATGAAGAAACTCACCTTAGAAATGAGGTCATCGTGATTGGCCAGGTGTGCCCGGCAGTGGACGCAGCTGTAGCGACGATGACAGGAGTCCAGATAGGCCTGGAAAGTTTTGGCCTTGGTCTGCTTCACCATGTCTTTGAAAAACACACAAGAAAACAGTGTCAGTTTATATCTGCAAACTTTATTCTCATATCCACATTTCACCACGAAGGCAAAGGCAACAAAGCAGCTTTGACTGCCAAAATAGATCATAACTGGATTGCCTAATAGCTGTTCTTAGTTAGAAAGCATGGCATCAAATTCAGCAACGTGTAATGTTGTTAACTTCAAAGTAAACAAAATGCTTTGACACTAATATTATTCGTGTTGGGCAGGACACATAGCAGTCATTTTGTTTTTGCATATGAAAATGACTTTAACATCATCATCAAAAAAACACAAACAAAATCTCGTATCCTGATTCAGAGATAAACCAGGAAAAAGGAAACATCCTCATGACCTACTTTGCTTGGCTGCCCACACTGTAGTTCCCCCATATATGGCCCGCCAGGCACGAGGGTAAACAGGGGTGAGAGGTAATGGATAACTATGGTTTGCTGTAATAAATACAGCTTTAGACAAAATATTATGTTATAAAGTATTCGAAACGTTTCTTAAAAATATGGGCAAGACATGCTAACGAGTTTAGTTTCAGTTCATATGGAATACACAACGTTACAGCACGGCCCTTAATGCAGCTGGAATCTCGACATAAACGAATCGTTCATGCGAGTCAATTGATATCAACGACTCACTAGAACAAAACGAAGACACAAACATTGATATTCAAATAATTTGCAGTAAAAAAAAATCCATATATAGCATTTACAAGCTACTGCACTCAATTTATCATCAAAACAAGATATAGTTTTGCAAAAATGTATATACATGTAAATTAATGCCAGTATTATTTAAAATATGCATTCAAATCATACGTTGGTTTAGACTATCACAGATATGAACAACATATTATGAAAGCCAAATAAAAATACAAATAACGAAAATATGGGATGTCAGGGAACGTGTAATGACGTAACATCACAGAATAAAATAATCGCTGAATCTTTTTAACGAACTGTCCAAAAGAACCGACTCACTGAACTGAGTCGGGCTTTTCAAATCTCGTGGAACAGCAACAACCCACCCGACTAGTTGCATGGTAAATTCATGTATCATAATCCAACTAACGTTAATATGTTATACACGAGCAAGTAAATATAGCCTCTACGCAAAATCAGCATGATATACGGTCATAAATCCATGCGTGGAGCCTTTTCAGGTTAGGACCGTTTTTTCTCCCTCCGTTTGAAATGATTCACAGCAATGACAATGGACTCACCTGGATGTTTGCGATTTCTTCAAGACAAACGCTGCTCGCCGTAGCTAACGTTATTGTCGCCAGAAGAGAAGCGCGCTCAACTCAACGGCATGAAGCCTGCGCGGTCTCTAATCGAGCGCACTCAACCAAACAAACGGCACGCTGCGCTTTTTCTAATGCTCCCTCCTTTGTGTCCCTCCTGTCGACCTGTTCTAGTGTCCTCGCCACGTTTCGTCAACAACAAACTTAGCTATTTCCGAAATTCGAGCAAGTTACTGCGCAGAAGACGCCTCAGCCAAATGTAATCCGTAGGTTTGTTTACTGTATTTTATGAGGAAGTTTCTTATACGTCGTGTGGCGCAAAACAAACCGCCGTCGACCAATCAGAATCCAGAGAGCGACGTCAAGAATATAGGTCAACCAATCAGACGCGCTCTTTCGTGCGTTTGAAGTCACCTAACCTTTACATCTGCGTTAAAAGCGTTTCGACGTGTAAAAACAAACAAAGCCCTCGTGTTTTTGGTCACTTTTATCTTATCGCTTCTTTCAAAAGTGACGAGTTTTAAATCTGTGTTGTTTGCATGTCAATTAAGTCACGTAGGCGGTTTAAAATTAACTTTTTGTTTTATAAAACCCATTCAGGTTTTCTGCAGGGTTATGAAGGTAAATATAAGTCATTTAATGTGCCATTTAAGACCTATTATATAACATTTAATGAGTATTTTAAAGGGAAAAAAACACGAAAATATGTTATGTAAATTTATGGCAAGCACGAATTGTAGTGGATTAGCAAAACTTAAAGGATTAAAAAATACTTGAAATGTACCAAGCACCAATTATTTTTATAGTTAATTTAATGTTCGAATATCTATTTGTAATATAATTAAAATAGCTTAGTTAAATTTATCAAAAAGCAAGACCTAATTCTTCCTCAATTTGCATCTCAAGAAGGTACAATTTGATTTAAAACGATTACATGGAGGGTGCAAAACACAGGGGGGGTTGGGGGAGATCGACCCCCCTAATTAATGCTTGATCCCCCCTGAAGGACGTCAAAACGTATGTGGGTCAGTTCTTTAATACTGAGAAATATTTCGCTCTGGTATGTATTTTAAATAATAATATTAATAATTAAAATAATAGATCATTTAAATATACATTTGACAAACCCTATAATGGTTCAAACTATTGTAAATGCATAATCCCACCAATCATTCTATTCTAAGAAAAAGTCTGAAATTGGAGGCTCTAGAGCTCTGATAGACATTGTGTTCACAACACCGTTTGTTTTCTCATTAAAAAGTTTTTTGTGTCTACATTTATCCTGAAAGTAAAGTCAAATTAGATGCATATTTACGTTTGTAGTCTGACCTACAGTAACATCTGAAATAGCTAATCAGAGAATACTGTAGGACAGAAGAATACACTAAATATCCCTCAAAATGCTGAAAACCTAAATATGTTGTATTAATAAACTAGATGAAAGTAAAAATAAATACATAAATGACTGAAGTATGTATTACACAAACTAGCCAAAAAATGTTGAGCACCCCGCCACTGATCATCAATGTATAATTCACACTGATTACATATATGTTTAAACAGAAACGGTGAAAAAGTTTCCTTTTATTGACGTCTGTACAACATCATGCAATGCCATATTTCTTTATGTTCTGATTTAAGACCTTTTGAAGGCCATAAAAATGTTAAATGATCATTTAAAACTTTTTTTGGTCCCAGATACCTGCTCACTGTCATTCTATATGACTTTAAAAAGCTTTATTAAAGGGTATTTTTTTTATTATTATAAATAAGCAATGCAGAATTCTATGTTTACTAATCCCCTATTGGGTCCAGCTGATGGACTTTGCACGGCCTCTCACAGAAGTTGGATAATGTTTGTTTATAAGCATGGGCAGGGAGGCACTAAAAAGACACTGACTGGCTGAAAACCACAATAAACATGCAGATAATGGTGGGATAATATAGTAAAAAGACACCATTTAAACAGTCCACTTGTGGAATATAGTATACTTTTATTATGTTTGTGTTACTAGTCACATAACTTGTCCCATGAAGAATCCCTTAAACCAAATTTCATCTGACCGCAGTGCTATGATTTATTGCCAGCGTTAATAAAGTGGCATAAAAATAAACTTGGCTGCATGTTTAAAGACAAACAGCGCTAGTACAGAGCATGTATTTAACTGTACAAGGGTTTGTTTGTGTTTGATCACGTGGCTTGTTTGCGCCTTCTAATATAGTTTGATAAGAGGGTGGGATAGTCAGTCATGACTCCTGTTGCTCCAGCGGCAAATGCAGCATCAATGTCTTGTTCCTCATTACAAACAAACAGATGAATCTATAAAAAAAAAAATGAAATCATGTGAGGCAAGGGTTTTCTGAGAAATCTAGTGGCTCAGAGCACTGTTATGAACAGAAGGTGATTTGAAACCTGAATTCCTCGCTCTCTGAGGTGCTTGAACAGCGCTTTTCTCATTGTCAGTCTGCCACAAAACATGTAAAACACAGAAAACTGTCAATTTGAATAATGTTTACATCAACTGGCCACTTTATTAGGTATACATTACTAGTACCAGATTAGACACCCTTTTTCCTTTAGATCTGCCTTAAAGGGAGAATTGAATTCTGTCATCATCATTTACTCACACTTTAATCATTCAAAACCTTTTTGAGATTCTTTTTTTTTATTTTTGGACATAAAGAAAAAAATTTTGGAAAGAATCTGTTAGCACAGAAGATTCTGTGGCCACAGCCATATTACCCTGCAGCCCAAGACCAGTTATTCACTGAAGCGAAGCAAGGCTGAGCCTGGTTAGTATTGGATGGGAGATCACATGGGAAACTTAGGTTGCTGTTGGAAGTGGTGTTAGTGCAGCTAGCAGTAGGCACTCAACCTGTAGTCTGTGTGATTCCTAATGCCCCAGTAAAGTGAAGAGGACATTTTTGAATTGACGTTAAACTGAGGTCCTGACTCTCTGTGGTCATTAAAAATCCCATACAAATTCTTGAAAAGAGTAGGGGTGTAAACCCAGTGTCCTGGCCAAATTCCCTCTATCGGCCCTTGCCCATCATGGCCTCCCAATAATCTACATCCACATCTATCACTGTCTCTCCACTCCACCTATAGCTGGTGTGTGGTGAGCGCACTGGCGCCGCTGTCCTGTGACTGCCGTCGCATCATCCAAGGGGATGGAATATAGAAACTACATGTCTACTCATGTCTTAAACATCTTTTTCAGAGAGTAGATCACAGATATGGCAGAAAGCACACTCGAATAAGAACATACTTTCACAGTATAAAATTATGTGTTGTCTGTATGACCAAAAATGGAGTATTTTAATTTTTTTTCTGCTGTGATGATCAGGATATGCGAGTGAACACATCGGTAATCAACTCCACCAAATATGTCATCTAAATTTACAACTGCTTTAATCTAGAAAGCTCTATTTGTGTTAATCATCAATGAAATTTGGGTATTACCCGTTGATATCCTCAGACTCATTTACTAGGTTATATGGTCAGTAGTTCAGGTTTAGCCTGTAGGCTAGAACCTAGGCTAGAGTTTATTTATTTGGAGTCATTTTAAATCACTTTTATGTACAGAACTAATCAATTTATTCCATCAGGCCTGTCACCATATCTATTTTTTGTTGTAGAATACACGACACCGAAAAAAACTGTGATAAATGATATTATTGTCATTTTAAGACGTTTTTATGCCACTCATTACATAATGCCAGATTGACAATATAATATCATCACAACTTAGGCACACTCTTCCCAAGAACATGTAATATTTTAATCTAAAGAATATTTCATTTAATTATAGTCATATTAACGATTTAGTCATTGGAATCAGAGTGTGAAAACGCATATCCTACATAAAGAATAATAAATGTTAACATTAAAGTGCAAGGTAAAAGTAACCGAGGCTGCAATATCTGCTACCATATTTATTCTCAGTTTTCAGGCACACACATGAAACTATTCCAGAGTAAAGTATAGTGATAATTACTATAGTGTTTTTAACCATACTGACACTGACACCACCATTAGAGATAGAGAGGCTGTGCAATAAGCTGAAGTGTTGCTAGAATTGGTTTTTATGTACAGTATGGGTGATATATAGTGCATGGCCAAAAATTATTGAGGTCATGCCCATGTGTTGTGCGACAAGTCGATATATTGATTTTTGTGACGGGCCTACACTCCATATTGCAGATTCTGACCCTACCATCAGAATTTTGTGGTAAAAATTCTAACGTTCATGAGACTAATGAGATTCATGAGACCAGGGGGTATTCCAGAAAGCAGGATATGTGACGTATCAATATAAAACTAAGGATGTGTAAGCAGAAAACCTCAGTTTTCGTTCCCAAACAGAGGTAACATTTAAAGTATGTGAGAAACCATAGCAACTATCGCTTTGAACATAACTACTTTGTTCACCAACAGTATGTGTTCTTCCTCAAAACAGGTGCGCGTTTACTACAGGCAATGTGATGCTTGCCTGTTGGGCTGCTGACCCTAATCGTTCTGTATGATTAGAGTCTACTGAAGTCACGTGGAAAGTTTTGGAAATGTTTTTGCTTCCTTTTCTGGACTTTATACATCTCAGAACTTTTGCTCTCTGTGTAGGATGAGAGAGAGACCTCTAGGATATTCTAATATACCATAATTTGTGTTCTGGAGATGAATAAGGGTCTCTGAGGATTGAAACACCATGGGGATGAGTAATTATTTATTATTTTTTCTTTAGCTTAGTCCCTTATATGTCAAGGGTCACCACAGGTGAATGAACCACCAACTAGTTTGGCTTATGTCTACCCGTTATGGGAAACACCGATACATTCTCACATCCACAAACCCATTCATAAACTTCGGCCAGTTTTGTTTACCAAGTTCACCTTTAGCTCATGTCTTTGGACTGTGGGGAAACTGGACCACCGTGAGGAAACCCACATGAACACGAGGAGAACATGCAAACTACAAACGGAAATGCTAACTGACCCAGCCTGGACTCGAACCAGCAACCTTCTTGATGTGAGGTGACAGTGCTAACCACTGAGCCACTGTGCCATCCAGGTTGAGTAATTAATAACAGAATTTTCCTAATTGGGTGAAGTAACTCTTTATATCACCTTTCTTTTCCATCAGATTGTCTTGAAAACATCTACATGCCTAACTAGACTGACTTGCTGCTCTCTGGTTAACTGATTAGACAATTGTAGTCATGTGCAGTTAAAGAGGTGTACCTAATTAAGTGGCCAGCGAATGTATTTAGATACAACTACTAAGATACGTTACCTTTCGATTAAAAAGATGACCAGTCTGCTTTTCAGAATCTCTGTGTCAGGTATGTATGCTCTGTAGGAAGGAGTTCATGAATATAGAGCTGCGCGATTGGCATAAACATGTTATAAATGGAAATATTTGATGTATACAGACTTGTTGAAGATTGGTGGGAAATAGAACTGCAGGAAACTCTCTCCAAGAGGAACAAAAGGCAGGAGGCCGGTGTAGTAGAGCAGGAGCAGCTGTAAACCTCGCTTTTGAGAGAACATATAGGGCATGGAGGAGTTCTGCCATAGACACAAAAGGAAACCAAGCTAAACATGTAGGAAACAACAAGTACGTAGGCTATTTATTACTGAAACAAAGCTTGCAGAGAGGGATACAAGTGCACACGCACTATTTTGCGACAGTTTTCCATGATGGTAGAGTCAACAGAGGCCCAAACTGAGATTCCTTCTCTGTTGTATTGCTTCACAAGCTCAGATATCTGAAAGAGACAGAGCATAATAATGTACTAATCTGAACTTTAACTCTGAAATCTGCACTTTTCTAGAACTTCTATGTTAAGCTGCTTTGACACAATCTACATTGTAAAAGTGCTATAGAAAAAAAACATGAACTGAATTAAATTGAACAGAGAGAAAAAAATAGAAGCTTAGTAAATAGTAAAATATGCTTGACAGATTTAGGAAGGTATTGAAGTACATTTCAGGTATTGAAGTACATGTCAAGTCCTTGCCTTTTCAATCAGCACGATGTTATTCTCTTTCACCTCAATGTTTACAGCCGTGTGAGGAAATTTGCGGAAAACATCCTCTAATAGTGCCAATTTCCTATCAGATCCTGTGCTGAAGTGGCCTGTGCAAAGAGAATTATTAAGCGTGTACTCATTGTACAGTTAGAGATAAATAAAGATCGTTATGATGAAAACACACACCTGTTTTAAAGGTGACCTCGAGTGTCTCCTTATAAGGAGGCAAGTCCTGAAAAATGTAAATAATTATTCAGAGCCATTCGCTACAAATCCTGTGGTGGTGTTATAAAAGACTTTGTTTTTTTAATTCAGTAATATTTATTTATTCATTATTTGTATTTGATGTGCTAAACTGTATTTACAGATGAAGTCAGAATTATTAGCCCTCCTTAAATATTAGCCCCTCTGTAGTTTTCCTCAATTTCTGTTTAACAGAAAGAAGAATGCTTTCGACACATTTCTAACAGGCTTGAACCCAAGAGTGGTTTACGTGGTTCGAAAGACCCACGCCTCAATGACAAAAGTTCAGAATATGTCCAATACATGAGCTCATTTGTCCTATTTTACTGCTACATCATAATCAATTGTGAAAATAACCCATTGAAAAAGGCTGAAAGAGCCAACTAATCTGTTAACCGCCACATCGGTGTGCCTTCAGCTTATTAGTTTTGTCCTATGCAAACTATTATTTCCCATGAGTCCAAAATCCAGTGGGGCAAGAAAACATACAATTAGATGTTAGATGTTTTTTTAGTCACCACTAAATGTAATGAGGGATTATCTGTAATAATAGCACATGGAAAGCAGTGCAGAATATCAGAAGAAAGTGTGAACCTTGACCTCTGACCTCCAGGTTTAGGGAGGAAATGGAGACGTCTTGTCCAGTCTGTCGCAGGAGGTTTTCATCATGAGAAACCATCACAAAACCATCTTTAGTCAAGTGACAGTCCAGCTCCAGCATCTCTGTGCCCACTTCAACAGCACTGACACAGAAACAGTCAAAACAGACAGACAGTTGAGGTAGGTAATAAATAGAAATCCATGCTTTTCCTAATGAATAACTTATTTTAGTACAAATAAGTGCTACAAACAATTTTTGTTAAACTTTTCATATCATCATTTTAGCCCATTCTAGTCACAGTAAATGAAAAGAAAGCCCATAAAAAAAGAAATGAAAAGATTTGTGTTTAAAAGATTCAGGACAATCGTGTACCAGATTGGGTTCAGATAAAATTATCAGCCTGCTTTCCTTCTTCATCAGTGTTGCCAGATTGGGCGGTTTTGAATTTATTTTTGCAGGTAAAAAATGACATAGGTTGGTAGTGTAAAATTGGGTGGTTTTGTAATAGCGTGCCCGCCAGCCTACTTATTGATCATTTTGATCCCCCAAAGAGGTGCCATAGCCCCCGATGTCCATATACAAACGCTTACGCAACAGTTGTGATCTCCCAACAAGAACCCCCCCACAATAAATTGTAAATATTTCAGTTGGCAAAGATCTTCAGTTTGTGCCCCAGTAGCCAATAACCACAGATTTTCTCAACCTTTGAATAATCAGGCAGAAATGGCATCTTAACATGTAAACATATCTTTGTTGATGGCTGCTTCTCGTCTTCTACCCAATTAGAATCACAGTTAAAAATTCCCCAAGCCCACTTTTTGCTGATATCTACAGGTGTGTGCCTTCACATACAAGAATTGTCTCTCTTTTCCTGCCCTTCCTGCAAAAAATCCCATTGATCAACTTCTTCCTGATGACCAAGAACAAAGTGGACCCATTACTGGTTTATGTACTAAGCTTTCGTCATTATTATCCACTTAATCTGGGTCACCACAGAGGAATGAACCGCCAACTTATCCAGCTTATGTTTTACACAGCAGATGCCCTTTCAGCTTCAACCCATCACTGTTAAACATTTATACACTCTCATTCACACACACACTAGGGACAATTTAGCCTTCCCAATTTGCCTATAGCGCACGTCTTTGGACTGTGGGGGAAACCAGAGCACACGAACACAGGGAGAACATGTAAACTCCACACAGAAATGCCAACTGAACCAGCCAAGGCTCAAACCAGCAACCTTTTTGCGTGATACCCACTGCGCCACCATGACACCATGAGATAATTCAATAAAATATTTCATTCTTTTTCAGGCAGATTCTTTGCCTATAGAAGTTTTGGTTATAGACAGGTACCAGACAAGACACTTCTTGACAGGATCTGGTGTGTAGACTATGATCTACCAGCACTGACACATGACCCCAGTATAACTGATCACTTACTGTGTGAAGGCCTCTATAGTGTTCTCGATCCTTTCACCAGAACCTGAGGACAGAGAGCAGGAGGTTAGACAAACAAACACATCCATTCCTCAAATCACTCCCTCAGTCACACATTAACCAGGTAGCAAAACATTGAAACATGCTGTCACAGTCACATTAATCAACACTGTTCATTCAGGTTTATGGAATAAACCTTTAGACGTCAAATTCAGACTTGCCTGGATTTCTGAATATATGACTGAATTATGCATTTATAGTAAATCGGAAAGTTAATAGCTTTCAATGTCACATGATTAAAGGGCTAGTTCAGCTGAAAATTAAAATTCTGTCACCATTTTACTCTCCAGTGATAATACAACATAAAATAATAAAGAAAATCAAACAGTTTTGGAGCAAGTAATGGGTCCTTGCTTTTTACTTGCTCCAAAATGGTTTGATTTTCTTTATTATTTAAACACAAAAAGGAAACCTGTAATAACTGACTTTTTAAAAAGGTTTTTTTTATCTTCAAATGATCTTCTTTTGTGTTCAACAGAGAAAAAAATAAACTCATAAAGGTTTAAAATAGTGATTTAATTTTCAATTTGAGTGAACTAGGCCTATCCCTTTAATATTGTCATCCATTGAGCAACAGAAGCAAGGAGGATGATTTATTTTGATGACAAATCAGCTGCAGCGTTTTTATATTTAGTTAAACGTAATATGGGTCATATTTTCAAAGATGTACCTCCTCTGTGAGAGATGTGTGTGCAGCGGAAAGCGGTCTGCTTCATCTTGTGGAGAATCTGCGGGTTCCTCAGGAAGTAGAGTGAAGTGAGCGCGTAGCCCCCTACCGCCGGCAGCAGGTAGTACAGGCAGCTCGCCATATTTCCCAAAACAATTGAGGACGATGAAGACTCTACGCAGAAACTCAACTCTGACCTTTTAAAAAAGATTGCAATTGTGACATTTTAAACATTTTTATTATTAAAAAGTATAATAATAATAATAAAGATATGAAAGATTACTAGAAAACAGCCAAAGGGAAAGAAAAAAATATATATACAGTTACATTTTAAATACAACTGTAAATATGAACATATTAAAGCATAATTATAAATATATTTTGATACTTTCATAACACCCAAAAGTTTACTTCTATAATCATGTTTTCAAGTTAATTTCAGCATATTTAAAACAACATGCATTTATTGAAAGACAGAAAAAAACATGGAAAATGAAAGGGATACATCTAGAATTTACATCACCCAACTCATTAAAGCATCCAAACTGCAATCAGACGGGTAAAGAAGTTTTAGTATTCAAACTCTGAGACAGACACACCAGATACTTTATAAATACAAAAACATAGCATGCACATTTCAGAGAATGAGTGTTATAACATTGCTTAGATCTTTGGTTATTTGTCACAAAACGTTTAAGAACATTCAACATTTTACGGGAGTCTGTTAGTTTTCTGTTTATACTGTAGGTTATTTTTTTTTAATGCAACAAAATGTGGAAGATCTAGAAATTAACCAGTTGAATGCTCAATCATCATAATAACCTGATAATGACAAACCTAAAGGACAGAATTGATTTTAAGATGATTCAGGAAATTAGTGTTGACTTTTTTTGTCAGAATGTTCTAATTATCTTATGCTTCCAGATAAAATGTTCTTAAATAGGTTTTTACAATATATCTGAGGTGTTTTGGAATAAACAGTTTTTTTCCCAGGGAATCATTTTTCTAAATGAGCTGTTGACATGGAATTAAACCAGATTTTGGTAAAAATCCAAATAATGCAAACAAAAAGCAAACAAAACAAACAAAAATCAGAAAAATGAGGTGTGTTATGTAACAAATGACACAAAAAGAAAATACTGAACTCCTGAAACATTTTTAACACTTTGTATACATTTTTTTGGTGATGGCAGCTTAAAGACGCCTCTCATATGGAGAATAAAGTCACATGAATGGCTTAACAGTGTGAGTTTTTCCCAGACTTCAACAGAGTGTAAAAACCTTGATGGTTCTGTAAGTCTCGTCTGACAAATCTGATCTTTAATTTGTATTTTATATTGGATTCAAGTCAGTTGATTTTCTGGGCCATTCTATAGCTTGATTTTCGTTCTCTTAAAGCATTTGAGAGTTTCCTTGGCTGTGTTTTGGTCCATTGTCTTGCTGAAATGTCCACTCTGGTTTCCCGATTATGTAGATGTTGTATGATAGAATCTAATATTCATTTACAACGAGGAAGGGAAGAGGGCGGCTGAATAACTACTGAGAGATTTTAGATGCTGTCTGGGCTTTCACTGCTTTTCTACATCTCCCTGTCTTTATGTGTTATTTTATTTTCCATAACTGAATTTGTAAACTAATGTTTTTTTCTTTGCATATTTGGATTTCTTTAATTTTTACCAATATCTGGTGAAAATTCCAAGTCAACTTTAGAAATCGCACCTTTAAAAATATGTTTTGTAATGGTGGCGTGTTCAATACTTCATACACTGTATATTGACTCAGATATGTTGACTTATTAATGTTTTATGTAAATGTATTAAAAAGCAATAAAACATGAATATGGATCATAAGATACAAATAGGCCGAGGCAGTGGCGCAGTGCTGTCGCCTCACAGCAAGGAGGTCGCTGGTTCTAACCTTGGCTCAGTTGGCGTTTCTGTGTGGAGTTTGCATGTTCTCCCTGCCTTCGCGTGGGTTTCCTCCGGGTGTTCCGGTTTCCCCCACAGTCCAAAGACATGTGGTACAGGTGAATTATGTTGGCTAAATTGTCTAGTGTATGAGTGTGCGTGTGAAGGTGTGTGTGGATGTTTCCCAGAGATGGGTTGCTGCTGGAAGGGCATTCGCTGCGTAAAAACTTGCTGGATAAGTTGGCGGTTCATTCCGCTGTGGCAACCCCGAATAAATAAAGGGACTAAGCCGACAAGAAAATGAATGAAAGATACAAATAAAATTGTAAAGCAGTTTTTAAAAATTCTGAACCTAAATAATGACTATTAAACAATTTTACTATGATTTACAGAAAACACCAAAATATCAGTAAAACAGTTTACCACTTTTATTGTGCATTTTAAAGGCCACAGATCACTTATTCCTTCAATTATAGTTAAATCAAGAACAGGATTCACTAATTTCTTTATGTTTTAAAAAATATTTGTGTGCACTGTCAACAAAATTCTAGCTGCATTAATCTTTGAAAAATATTAACTTTTTTGTCATCTAAAATTACCTCAATTGAACTGACTAAAAATATTAGGTTAAACTTTGTGTAAAATACTAAAAATAGTTGAAACCTGATTAACTAAAGTAACATAAAAAACATTTGAGAAGTTCAGATGCAAAAAAAGAAGTGCCATCTGTAATTCTTCTACAATGAGCATTTTTATTTGTTCTTACATTTATAGGTTATTTTAATACATTAAAATAACTTGATTTTGCCATAAAACTGAAATTGCTGAATCAAGTTGTAGGAGCCTGAGAAAATGGCTAATTTTAGAAGAAAATGTCAGATGGCACTTGCATCTGAACTCTTTATTTGTTCTCATGTTTTTGTGTCATGACATAAAAAAGTCATACCATTTTTTCCATTTTAAAAATTGAATGGTAAGAAAGGCCCAACAGAGCCTGTTTTTTTTCCTCTTCACTTTCGTCAATTGGTGAAGTTTTTTTCCTCGCCATTGCCTTCCTCAGATCGGGACTTGTCGAGCTGAGCTTCGGTGGATCTGCTCTTCAGTGTTTGAACTTTCAGCAAAGAAGTTTAAATCACACTGAACTAAACTAAACTGAACTTCGACTCAGAAAACTGGACTTTACTAGAACTATATATAACTTCTATATTGTGAAAAGCACTATTTAAATAAACATGAATTTAAGATAAAAGTATATACACAACAAATTAGTTATAATGCAAATAATTATCTTATTTTTACTTTATTTTAATTATTAGAATATAAATTTAATGTAAAAATATTGTAATTTAAGATCAGTCTGATGGTTTAAACAGCTTAAAATGTCATGTCCTCTATAAAACCACTGTAAAAAAATATCTGTAATTTAGCAGTTATTTGTAATTTAAGATTCATGTTTTATTTTCTCTGTTTCTTTATGCTTTTGAATTTCATTATTGGAACTTGATCTTTCTCCAACAACTTAAACCTTGAAAAGGTGGTTTTTATTAATATTTTTAATGAATGTCATATTGGTTGGTGTTGTATAATATGCTATAAACCTTGTAATAAGCTGCCAGTACTACTGTTATTTTACAGACTTATTTCTTAAGATGTTATTTCTTATACATTATATCATTTAAAACTACTAAAATGTCAATAAAAGTCACTTTGTAGAACTGTAGAGTTGAATTTTCAGCATAAAAAGTTGACAGAGCAGAGAACATCCCATGTAATTCACAACCGTAAATAAATGGAAAGCACTTGTGAATCACAAAATACAAAAACTGTTAATTAACGGATATTTTTTGACAGTGTACTTATCAGACATAAAGCATCAAGTGCAAACAGGAGCATACAGTTTCATTTTAGTAATAAACTGAATGATTTTTTGCATCATGAACTTACCAAGACTCCCTGCGGTTTGGTTATTCCAGAATATTTGCACCTGTCTTCAGTGCTGATGCCAGTATGTCTTTCCTTATCTTCTCCTTCTCTCTCTCGTGTTTCTCCTGTACAGTTGCTCAGCCACTCCCTTGTCAACCTTCACCTGGCCAATTCCGATCACATTACTAAGAAAGCAATGTTGCCCAATAAGTGCCAACTCAAAACTAGACTGCAATGCAAAGACTCGTCTGTTCCCCTCATTAAAATATCAAAAACACTTGCACTAGAGACTCAGACCTCAACAATGGAATCTTTCTCACTAGTTGTGCGTTTCAGTAACGAGTCAGTCATTGATAGCTGCACTCTTTGTAATTTCACGTTCCCCCCTCCTTTGTGGAGACAGAGGCTGTTTTGGAATGCAGTTTGTTTGACTTTTGAAGTGTGTGTGTGTGTGTTTATGTGCAGGTATGCCTCAGTTTTCACAGGCCTCGCTGGACAAAATGTGCAATACCGGTTGAATAATTTCTGCACTATAATTATTTGTTCTCTTGTTGTCGCTAATCTAGAGGGAAAAATAAAAATGGCAAATAAAGTTGGAGCACATTCTTATAGAGATAGTTCAGCCAAGTGAGAAAATTCTGGCATCATTTACTCACTCTTACTTGTTGCAAACCAGTTTGAGGTTTTTCATTATTTATTCTTCTGCTAAACACAAAATGAGATACATTGAAAAATGTAACCATTGACTTTCATAGACTTTCTTACTATGGGGAGAGTGGTTACAGGTTTCCAACATTATTTAAACTATCTTCAGAAATAAATTAAAGGATAAGTAAATTGTGGTTAAAAGGAATGAGCGATATAGAAAAAAATATTTTGGTAAATCAAAGTAAGCTTTAGTGAGCATTTCTTTGAAAAACAACAACAACAACAACACAGTTTTTCACTTTTGTTATCTGAATAGTTCTAAAGGTTCAGCATAGAACCATCAATACAGAACATTTAGCATACTCTTAAGAATAAAGGTGCCAAGAAAAACCAAAATCCAGTTTAATGGGATAGTTCACCAAAAAATGAACACTTCCTCATCATTTAGTCACATTCAGGTGGTTCTAAACTTTTTAATTTTTTTATGAAGACTTTGAAAGAATTTCAGAAAAAAGAAGTCATTGACATCCATAGTGCATGAATGCATTCAATTTCAGAAATAAAGATACAAAATCTGTCACTGGGGTGGTACCTTTTCAAAAAGGTACATTTTTGTTCCCAACAGGTCTCTTACAGTCAAGCGCTACATTGGGCTTTCCTCCTGGATTTTGCATACCCAAATTCAAAAACTGCTCAAATCCATACACAGATAAAACACTGTTGAAAGTGATTAATATAATTGTACATGTTGTCTGTGTTATAATAAATCCGCCAAAAAAAAGGCTTTTTTGTAAACTCAAATTTGAAAGTGTACCTTTCAGGTTTTGTGTGGTCAAGGTTGCTGTAATTAATTTTGTTGGTTCCGGCACATGTCAGTAATCATGGCAAAAAATGTTTCCATTATAATCTATGCAAAAGTTATTCTATTCCAACTGTTGAGAGAATGGAAGCACTTATGTGGGTAGTTGGGCCAAATTAACCTTTAAAATTTAAATTATGTAGAAAAAAAATGATGTCACGGACCTGGTACGCAGAGTTTAGGAGGTTAAAAAGAACATATTATTACCTAAAAAGAACAAATGTGTGCCTCACAGTAACTTAAAGGTACAAAAGTCAAACTTAAAGATACAAAAGTGTACCCTAATTGTTCTAATGTCCACCAGTATGGTACCGCCCCAGTGACAGATGGGGTACCCTTATTTCTGAGAATGCAGTAATTATAAATTGGTGTTTACCTTTAATAAAATAGTGTTAATTAACTCGTTAGCTCTGTTCCATTTAATATTTATAAATACAATTTATGTTAAGTAACGTAACCTGAGGTGTTGCTAACAAAATTAAACATTTGATGAGAATGTGATTTGTTTTTTAACTCGTAAAAGCCTTCAAAGTAATATATAGAGAATCTTTAGAATATAATCTTAAGAATAGATGCCAGGAGAAAACAAAAATCAGTTTAAAGAGGTATATAAAAATGTTCACTTCACATTCAAGTGGTTCTAAGACTTTCAGATTTCTTTATAAAGAATTTAAAGTATTTTGGTAAAAAGCAGGCATTGACGAGCATCCATACAAATTTCAGAAAGGTACAAAATCTGTCACTGGGGTGGTACTTCTTCAAAAGCTAGATTTTTTGTTCCTAACAGGTCTTTAAAAAGTGATTATTAATTCCTAAAAAGTGCAAATATGTACCTCACTTAAAGGTACTAAAGTCAACCTTAAAGGTACAAAAGTGTACCCTAAAGGTACTAATGTCCACCGGTATGGTACAAAAGTGTATCTTTTAAACAGCCACCACTCTAGTGACAATTTTGTACCTTTATTTCTGAGAGTGCAATATTTATAAATGTGTTAACCTTCATAAACATTGTGTTTATCATCTCATGTTAGCTCTGTTTCATTTAACATTTATAAAGGCAAATTAAATTAATTCTGTTAAGTAACGTAACCTGAAGCGTTGCTAACAAAATTAAACATTTAAGGAGAATGTGACTTGTTTTTTAAAACTCATTTGAAAGCCTTCAAAATAATATAGTGAACCTTTAGAATATAACATTAAGAATATAGATGCCAGGAAGAACCAGAAATCGGTTTAAAGGGATTGTTTACCCAAAATCAACATTTCCTTATCTTTTACACACTCCAAGTGGTTCTAAACTCTGAATTTCTTTCTGAAGAATTGTGGAAAAAACTGCCATTGACATCCACAGTATAGGAACAAAAATCTACCATGGAAGTCAATGGCTGTTTTTTCCAAACACTCTTCAGTACTTTTTGTTTGGGCTCAACAGAAGAAAGAAACAGGTTTGGAGCAAGAGGAAAGTGAGTAAATAATGACACAATCCTGATATATGTGCAAATCAACACATCAGTTTCGCAGCAATTACATAGCAGAACTGGATTGCTCAAAGAACTATTTAGGGAAAAGTTCCTCAAAGAGCTAACATCGTCTATAATGTAAAGACTATTTTCTTAAAGTACCTGTTGTGGAACAAAAATGTTCCTCATGAAACCATCAACGCCAGTAAAGAACCTTTATTTTCAGTGAAAATGAAGGGAAATGACAGCAGGACAGCACATGGGGCTGCTGTTGTCGTTTCTGTATCACTGCAACAGTTGGTCATAAGAGCATGAGGATGCTCAGTATTCATGTTCTCACACATTTCAGTGCTTAGCAAAAGCTTAATGTGGGATAAACGTGAACTCGCAGCAATGCACACACAACAAATGTAAACACGCTGTCGGTGCTGCCCGTCAGCAGAACACTTTGGGTTTCTATTGTTCTGGTTTTGTATAGATTCGCTGAGAGACTGTTACCCAACAAACAAAGGGAAGCAGAGACAGATGGAACGTGGGGCTGAGAGAGATAATAATTTGCATGTTTTTTTGTTGTTGTACAGGAAAAACTGCTTCCATTAAAACCATCGATTCACCTCAGTTTAGTTTCAACAAACTTGCTGTGAATCAGTGTATTAGGTCACAGCTTTTCTCCTGTGTTTGAATCAGGCGTGTTAAAGTGCAAACACACCCAAAAGAGTTTGATATGTCTTCAAGAGTTTTCGAAATGCCTCGCAGCTAAATTCTCAAGCCGTGCTGAAACATGTTGATGAAGCAAAGGAGTGGTACAACTGGACAGACTACTTGGTGGAGAGAAAAGTAAACGTCTTAAAACAAGGAGTGGAACCTGAAGGAAATTATTAAGTGGATTCATTAGCCATAAAATAACTAAACATTAACCTAGAAGAAAGTTTACTTTGGCTCAGGTTAAAACTTGACGTGGACATCCATGGTTATTTTTCCATCGAAAGTTGATTAACTTTTGATTATTAGAGTGCCACTCCTCCTTCACGGGACAGGAAAGCAGAAACAACTTCCATCTTGAAAAACTAATAAAGGCGAATGAGTGTGACGCTCTTAATTCACAATAGGCTACACAGAACATGGAACAAACCCTCAAGCTACTGAAGATCCTAATCTGGTCATGATTGACTACACAAGATTATGATTACATATACAACATATTGTTAATACTATTAAGAAGAGAAAAAATAATTGTGATCTACTGCTAATGCTAAAAATATGGAATAATTGAGCACAAAAATCCTTCTAATTTATCGCATATACACATTTAAATTGAATCCTTTGGTAGATGCTTTAATTCAAAAATGACTTACAAATGAGCAAATCATTAGTATGGAGGTAGTAATCAAAGTTACAAAAGGAAAAAAATATGATAATATGACAAATCCTCCTTAATTTGATGCAAAAAATATAGATTTAATAGACAATAGATGAAAGAATGTTGGTATTCATATAAAAAGACAATAGAAAATGGATTGCGATGATGGCCACAACAAATCAGATAATATAATCAAATCAACAAAAAAGCAAAAAAAAAAAGTATGTGATGTATATGACTGACTTTTTATATGTCTGTTTAGTGTGTTCAAGGAACAGTTGACCTAAAAATGAAAAAATTAAGTCAGAATTATTAGCCGCCTGAATTATTAGCCCCTTCTGTTTATTTTTAATAACTCTTTATTTATAATAATTGATTTATTTTATCTTTGCCATGATAACAGTAAATAATATTTTAGTGTAATGAAGTGTCTATACAGCTTAAAGTTACATTTAAAGGCTTAACTAGGTTAACTAGGCAGGTTAGGGCAATAAGGCACGTTATTGTACAACAATGTTTTTTCTGTAGACTATCTGGAAAAAAATTTGCTAATAATTTTGACCTTCATTTTTTTTTTTTTTATTAAACTGCTTTTAGCCGAAATAAAACAAATAAGGCTTTCTCCAGAAGAACAAATGTTATCAGAAATACTGTGAAAATTTCCTTGCTCTGTTAAACATCATTTGGGAAATATAAAAAAAATATATAAAATATAAGCGACCTTCTGCATGGGAGTCAATTGTTCTACCAAGGAGGCTAAAGATCATGGCCTCTAGCATCTGTTGCTAGAGCACCTATAAGAGGAGTGAGGTTTACCTGCACAGCACTTCACTAGCTGGCCTCTGCTACATATAAACATATATATATTAATACAAATTGAGTTTTGAATTTTAGTACCATCAGTCAATGCTATTTAAAAAGGTATTTCTTAATAAAACAAAATAGGTGGGAAAAAAACAACAACAAAACACCTGACCATGGCCTCTAGCATCTGTAGCTAGAGCACATTTAGAGGCCAGAGGAGTGGTTTACCTGCACTTTACTAGCTGTCTTCTGCTACACTAACCCCCCTAAACCTCACTCCCATCCGTGTCACAGCACCAATATAACCCCGTTGGTCCTAAACCACCCAACTTGCTCTAGGCTGGGATCAAACCGACAACTTTCCACATGGAAAATACTGTAGATGCTCCAGCAAGGAGGCTAAAGACCTTGAACTCTGAGGTTTACCTGCACAGCACTTCATTAGCTGGCCTCTGCTACATATATATTAATACAAATTGAGTTTTGAATTTTAGTGCCAGCAGTCAATGCTGATTAAAAACTTATTTCTTGATAACCCCCCCCCCCCCCCCCCCCCCCCCAAAAAAAATAGGTGGAGAATAAAAAAAACACCCAACACAGAGAATTACAGTATCATGAATTTTATTTTATATATGTATATAATTCTGTTTTTGTTAATCGTTTAATTTATTATACCCATAAGCATATACATAGACTATACCCATCCATAGCTCGTTTCTCTCCACAAACTACTCAAATCATTTAATCATCTTTTAAAATAATTCCTCATAAGATTCAGGGAAAAAAATAGACTTCAGAAAGAGTGAACAGCCAATTATTATTATTTTTTCAACACCCAAAGCGAACAAATGAAAGAAATGCAAAACAGACTTTTTTTAAAAGGACAAAAAGTTCTTAAATCCCTTTTCAGATTTTAAAACAATAAAAAAAAGACCTCACCAATAGAACACCAGCAATAATTATAATAACAGCCATTAAAAAGACATGATATCTGCCTCCTTTGCAGGCTTTAGGAAATCATACTGTATGCGTGCAGGTTAACATGTGCGAAATACATCCCAAAATGTGTGTCTGTGTGTGTGTGCGCGTAAGACTGCCGACAGTCCCCATGGTCCCATTAACAATAAGCATATCATTGCCATTGACAATACAGTAATATAAATAAACCTTTTCTTGGTAATGAATTGTTTCCCTCAGATCAGAGAGCGGGGATGATCTCCACTCCTCATGAGGAAGCAGAGAAGAGCAGCTTCTGGTAGGAAAGAACAGACGTACAGACAGACACGGGACGTGAAAGACCGACTGCCATTGCCTGTTACCCTAACATTTGAAGGATTAAGCAAAAAAAAAAAAATTATATATATATGACAACAGCGTAGAAAGCAGAAACGCTTTTTGTGACAGGAATTGCACTAAAAACCGAAACAAAAGCAAAACATTTGGTCATGAGAGACACAAAGTGCAGGTGCACCGATTGAAAAATGTCACGCGGGGTTAATTTCCTCAATTTTGTAAGGGGGTGGTGTTAATTTATGCAAATCACACCCTGTGTTTATGCAAAACAGCTACACGCTGTGCCATTTAAACTGTTCCGACTTAAACATGCTTTTCCTCATCCACGATTGGCCAAAAGCAATGACGGTTTCCTTACAAAAACGGACGTATAATAAAGGCAGGTTGTTACATGTCTAAGATGCAATGCATGCAGGTTAAGTCTGATAAAACACAAGGTGAGCCAATCACAGGCAGGAGAGAGGCATGAGGTCAGCAAGCCCTGTGGAAAAGCCCTTTGAGAAGTTCTGACATCACAGGGAGGGAATGAGAGAAAATGTGCTATGGCTCTGAAAGTGTTAAGCTTGGCTATGATTCCTCAATCACTCCGAGACAAAAGGACGATGAGGAGAAAGGAAAAGAAACGCAGCGAGGGACCGATATCTGCAAGAATATGAGGGACGACGTGTGACTTATCAGAAAGGAATCATGGCAACAGTAGCCATGGACATGGTAACCAATGACAACTATTGTTATTCACAAAGAAATCAGCACATCAACCCCCTTCGGAGAAAAAAAAACAAAACAAAAACACTTGAAAACGCAAGGTCTGCACGCAGAAATGAGCCAGAAGAAAAGCCAGCGCGTTAAAGCAAGAAAACATGATACTGATGGCTTAAATTTCCCAAGAACGTTGGCAAGAACGAGTCTCGACAGTCGAACGAGATCTTTTACAGCAGATGATACAACTCCATCTCGTGCTCCGTTTCCTCCGTTCATCCTGCTCTTACCGTTTACAACATTCCTCCTCACAAATAGAAGAGTCCAAGCTCAATAAATGAATTGTAAAAGGAAAAGAAAACACAAGCAATGACTTTATATTTTCAAAAGATATTCAAATAGAAATTCCCAACATTACAAAACACGATTTGTAACTGATCGAAACGTTCAAATTACAGTATACAAACAGATCGCCGACTTACAATACTCCAATGAAACTCAAAACCACTTATATATACACACACACACACCGGTCAGTGCCCATCCTAGAACTTCTCTCTGTTTCCATCTCTATTGGAATGAAAAAAACAAACAAACTAACACCCGGAACACCACAGAGCAGAAAAGAGAGACAGACCCTCGACAGAAAGAGAGAGATGGATCCGAACAGAGAGAGAGAAACAGGGTATCGACAGAAAAGGTGAAAGATGTGATTGTTGGAGAGAAAGAGAAAAAGAGAGAGAAAGAGAGAAAGAGAAAGAGAGAGAGAGAGCAGGAGCTGTGTGCGGGATGTGATGAGAATAGTGAGTCTGACGGCCCCCATTAATGGCGTTATGATAAGATGTTAGAAGCCCAAACTAGCGCACAGCTTCCCAGCGAGAAAAGAGAGATGGACAGATAAAACAAAGCTGAAGATTTTAAATGTACATTTTTGCTTTTTTTTTATCTTGTTTTTATCTTTTTTTAAATGGATATATGCATGTATGTATATGTTTTTCGCAGGTCGTCTGGAGTTTTCTTTAGATGGGACTCCGCACTGCTCGCTTATTCCCCGTGATGACTGCAAAAATAAATACATTTAAAAAACACGGGATTACGGACCATCAGTGGCAAACAGCTTTAAACATGGGTAATTCAACAAACTAAAGTAAGTTTTGCTCAATTTAAGGATATATTTAAGTGAAGACGATATTAAAGTGGAAGGGATTTTATATTAAATATTGCTTGATGCAATGTGCAAACAAAGTATTAAGAGGAAACTGCGTTGAAACATGATTTGCACATTTACATGCATTTCAAAATTATATAACCTTAAAAAATATGTTCCTGTTTGTACAGCGGTCCCTCGCTATAACGTGGTTCACTTTTCGCAGCTAAGAAGATATTTTTTATGTAATTTGACATGCTTTTTTTCTACAGCGCATTGTATTCTGTATTCGAACTGGCTGTAGACCATTGTCAATAAATCTCCTTCGTGCAGCGTCTCCTGTGCAGTAGGGTTGCACGGTTTACTGGTACTTCGGTAGCACCGTGAAACTATAACTCTAAAATACTGGTGGTGCCACTGCAGTTTGTAAACAGTAGTATCGTCATTAATGGTTCTACTATTTGATGCATGTGGAAAAGGCACTAAAATGCTCAAACATTTGTGACGGCAAATAATCAAAAGGCCACTTTATTATACTTTCATTTTACTGTCTGCATATGGGTCGTAGTTTGCTGCAGTCATGACAGATCATATGGAATAATCAATGATTTATTTATTCATTTATTTTATTATTATTGTTGTAATAACATCAAAAGAGTAACAGTATATACAAAAAAGCAGAGAAAAAAAAAAAGTACAAATAGTATAGTTTTCAATAATAAGGCAATTCTGAATTGAATTTAGGTATTATGACATAAAATATAGTATTTCTGACAATTTACTTCATTTAGTAGATTTGAGTAATGAGTTAATACAGTACTGCGATACTACTTGGTATCATGATACTTTAGCTGGTATAGTATCGTGGCCTGAATTGAGGTATCGTGACAACCCTACTGTACAGTACAGAATGTGTTCAGCTTGCCAGATTTACAGAAATCTTCAATCACCAGCAGTGTGACTCTGAAGTGCTGTACTGTATGTTTGCAAGTTTCCTCCCCACAATGTCGACGAAACGTTCTGTACCGTCAAAGGCACCTGTGGTAGCAACCAAAAGGCAGGGGAAGATGCTAACCATCGCACAAAAAGTTAACCTTCAGGACATTCTAAAAAAAGGTAGAAGTTAAGCGGCTGTAGGGCAACATTACCGAATACATAAATGAAGATTAAATGGTTTTGATCTTTGGGTTCATTTTATGATACTGGACCTATTTTTCAAGGAAGGTTTGAACTTTGAGAGTGTTTAAACAAGAGAGAAAAGTAAAAAAGCTAATGACTGTCTGAGAAAAGTGTATAAAGTGTGTAGTGAGGGGTTTTACACCATTAAAACATCTATATTAATTGTAAAAAAAGCTACTACTTCGCAGATTTCGCCCATAGCGGGTTATTATTTAGAACGTAACTCTGGCAAATAACAAGGGACCACATTATGCGGAACAGATATATAAAAATATGAATATTAAAAAAATAATAATTTTAAAAGAGGGGAAAAAGTCTTTAATTTTAGATTAAGGAATTTCTGAATTTATGTTCAGTCCACTTAAATTTATAAAGTTATACAGTTAACTTAATCATATGGTGTTGAGGCTACATGGATAGTTATTGTTAAAAAAGGGGCTTTATTAAGAACAATGAACATTGCATCAATCAATAACCAAAAATGTGCTAATGCCAGCTCTTTCAGTCTTTTTCCTAGGTTACATATAATAAGTCGTTAAAGTTGTTAGTTTACAATACTGTAGTTGTCTAAATTAGATGAATAAAATTGATCAGCTCAACAAGAGAGTGCTCATGTCAAATTCACAAGATAATTAAAATAAAACACATTTGATCACTTGATAAATTAAGCTGAAATAACATCTTTTAAATGTGCACAACAATTATATGAAGTTGCACCAATAATCATTATTATTTTGAGTGTATTAACATTAGTGAACCCTCAAATAGAATTTGTTTGCACATTTTTGTACCTGTCCCTCTCAGGAGCCCTGGTAATTGGCCTGGAAGCGTGCCGTCTCCTCAAAGATGAGCTCTTTCAGCTTCTCTTTAGGAAGGTCGTCCAGCTCCATGTTGAAAGTGAAGGGTTCCTCAGCTACCGGCTAATTGAGCAAACAATGTGAAATGTAATTAGATTTTCCTAATATGTATGAGAATGTAGAGATTTCAAATTGAAGGCCCTTAACAGTACTAGCTGAAGAGGGAAAAGAGGGATACCTCATCAGATGGGTCATAGTACTGCTCCAGGTAGGGGTGGGCCAGTGCTTGCTCCACATTTATACGTTTAAGAGGGTTAAAGGTTAACATGCGATCCAATAAATCCAAAGCTGAAATGCAATAGTAGAAGTACATAAGAAAAAGGTTCCACACTTCTATATTAATGGGATAGTTCCCCCAAAAACATCTTCTGACCATTTACTTACCCTCCAAAAGTTTCTTTTACTGTTGAACACAAAAGGACATATTTTGAAGAACGTTGGAAACTGGTAGCCATTGAAATCCATAGTAGAAAAACCAAGAAAATACTATGGAAGTCAATGGTTACAGGTTTCCACCATTCTTCGAAATATCTTTTGTGTTCAAAAGTAGAAAGAAATAGCTTGGAAACATATGGAGGGTGTGTAAATGACCATTTTTATTATGGGGTAAACTACACCTTTAAACACGTAATATCTATCATATAGCCTATAAACCATGCACAACAAACAAAACGAACATCGACAGTGCAGAGAATAAGGGATACAAGGATGTAAACATTTTTGCTTGGTAGCGTTTCAGTAAACATGCTTGCACAATGCAGCCAGAGCACAAAAAGACCATTTGTTGACACTCACATTTGTTCAGTACTCCCACACTCTTATGTGCGCACGCACGCATGGACACTCAAGACAACTACTGCCAGACCTTTCTTACATGCTTTATTTGTTGTTTCATCACACACACCTGAACATCCTAATGTGTGAGCCTACCTTTGTTGTCTGCTTTGGGAAACAGCTTGTTCCATGGGATCTTGGGTTTCTGTGGTAAAGACTGGAGGTAGTTCCTGGCCTTCATGTTGATGATGCAGTTCAGATCATCTTGAGAGGGGGAGCCCAAAACACCTGTTTGACAAGGCAAAGAAATTAAGTACTCACGCAGTGGTACAATACTGAAACCAGAAAACATTGTTTGAACAATCAACTTGGGATTTTGGAATAAAAGAAATTGGGCCATGAAAAAAAAAAAAAAAAAAGTAACACATACTTAACATTTGTGCAGAATTACAAAACATAAAATAAATAGTTATTAAAACTTTTAAATTTGTTCAAAAAGCAAAAAATTGGGATTATGGGGATTTCATTTACAGGTCAGCTTCAAAAACTCTCCTTCACAAACTGGATGTTTTTTACCATGCATCAATGCATTTTTGTTACTGGTGCGCCATTTAATACTCATCACAGTCAACTGTGTTCTTTATTGAATTGGCCTTCTCTTCAATCATGTCGACAAACTCATCGGTTTCTGTTAATTTACAAAACTTTTATTGGGAAAACTCCACTATATTTACAGTCACTACTAAACATTTAGAAAACATGTCGAAATCTGTGCTCTAGCAGTTTTATTAACCTTTATATTATCACTTCATTTGGTCGCTACTCTTTTCAGTTTTCTGCTGCTGATGCTTAGAATCATCTGCAGCAGATGATTCTAAGATTAAAACTCAACATTTTTACTCCACTATGATCCTTTAACAAAAATTCAATCCAGTTAACAGTACAAGATCACTGTGCTTGTTTTTAGCTTTTACTTGGTTTATATGTTATTATCTGCATTTGTGAAATTGTTATTGTATTGTGCTTTTTATGTTGCCTCTTGGCCAGGTCATCCTTGTAAATGAGAACCGGTTCTCAATTGATTTACCTGGTTAAATAATGGTTATAATTATAAAAAACCTGCCTCCAATCAAACTCTACTAGTGAAATTCTATGTGGATTTTTGTATTTGAATATATTATCAAATGTGATTTATTTCTTTAAATTGGAGACCGACTTTAGTCCAGTCTTCAGTGTCACATGACCCTTTATAATTCTTCTTAAATTAGAATAAGATTTGACAATCAAGAGACATTCCCTGTTATAATCTAAGATAATAACATTTGTGCTGCTTAACTCTTTTTGTGGAAACAGTGGCATATTTTTTCAGGATTCTTAAATAAATTGAAATGAAAGGCCAACAGTCCATACAGTTTGTGTTTTCTCCTCAATACCAGAGCAATACAAATAATATAGAACTATATTGTGGCATGAATTCTCAATTTGTTCAATTATATTCAGGTTGGGAAAGCTTGAGAATGAGCAAATGACAAAACTCCAATGAGCATCATGTTTTTACCCAATATATGGTTGAGCTGGTCCAGATAGTGCTTCCCAGGGAAGATGGGTCTGTTGGACAACATCTCAGCCAGGATGCATCCCACAGACCAAATATCAATGGACTTGGTGTAGCCCTGGAGGATAAAGAGAGAGAGAACACAAATGCATCAGTGATGGGGGCCTTGAAAACATAAAAGACAATATTTTAAAAATGGTTGGAAAATATTAACTTCCATTGCATTTGCTTTTTTTTCTACTATGGATATCAATGATTATTAGTTTCCAACATTCCTTAGTGTAACCTCTTTTGTATTTAACAGAATGAAAAAAAACAACAACTCAGAAACAGGGCGACGTAGTGGCGCAGTAGGTAGTGCTGTCGCCTCACAGCAAGAAGATCGCTGGTTCGAACCTCGACTCAGATGGCGTTTCTGTGAGGAGTTTGCATGTTATCCCTGCGTTCGCGTGGGTTTCCTCTGGGTGCTCCGGTTTCCCCCACAGTCCAAAGACATGCGGTACAGGTGAATTGGGTAGGCTAAATTGTCCATAGTGTATGAGTGTATGTGGATGTTTCCCAGAGATGGGTTGCGGCTGGAAGGGCATCCGCTGCGTAAAAACGTGCTGGATAAGTTGGCGGTTCATTCCGCTGTGGCGACCCCAGATTAATAAAGGGACTAAGCCGGCAAGAAATGAATGAACCTCAGAAACAAGTCAGGGGTAAGACAGCATTTTAAATTTGGGTGAACTATCACACTATGAAACAGGGCTGCATGATATTGGAAAACTGTATATAAATATATTATATTTCTGCAATATATATATATATATATATATATATATATATATATATATATATAATTTTTTTTTTGTGATAGTAAATATAATTTCCCCAGATAAATTGAAAAGCTCTATTTTAAACATATTATTTATTTAAATAGATTTGAATGAAGAACTACCTGTTCAGTGAATTAAAGCTTAACATATTTAGTTATGGGCTGGGCGATAAAATTAATATTGGTATTTTATTGACTGAACACATTTGTCCGTAACGATTAACAAAAATAATAAAAATTTCTGTATGAAATGCTTTAGTTTTATTAAAATGTGGTTGCTGAGTGTGCGCCTAGGAAGCAACGCCAATAAGCTTAGGATGTAAGTTTGTCATTTCCAATGGAGGTGCAGGACTTGCACATGGTGTGCATCTAGATGAAAACATCTGAACTTTTCCGAAAGCCGCAAGGGCACCACGATTCATGCAAGCACAACTAACCAATCTGCTTCACACTTTGTATGGAAAATACACATTTCAGTCATAACGGCAGACTTAATACCTTAGACAAACACAGCGCATCCAAACACTGCGGTGCTTTTTACTTTCCTCCATAAACTTTGCATCAGAGCTACAGCAATGGTATGTCCATTTGTCATACACTGAGAAAAAGCTTGATGTCATCTTAATTACAGAAAGACGCCAGGGGAGCGTGAGCGCAAAGCCTATTGTAAATGGTGAAGGAATCCACGCACTTGCGCTTGTCACTTCAGGTCAGAATAACAACACAAGTGAAAATGGGTGCAGTATAGCAGCAGTGAAGAGTAATTAAAAATAAGGATGTAAGAATTTGTAATTAAAAAAGGATGCAAGAATGTCGTCAGACCGGCTTTTTGGTTTCTTTTATTGTTCATCCCAGCCACTAGCACCCGTTCTGAAAGTTTTTAGCATAGGGATAATTTTGTCATTCAACTTCACCATTTTTAATGTTGCACTATGTATTAAAATAATGATGGTTAGTTCCTTTACTCGAAAGCTCAGATTTCATTATCATAATTTGTTTTGTTGTTGATTTACCTTTACCATTGCACACACTTTGTAACACTTTATCAAGTTTATGAGTCTCCTTACCATTTATGTTTACTTTATTATTAAGAGATCAGATATTTTGCTTAAATATTTTTGACTATAAAAACTATTTGCCTTAGTAATGTTGGTAAATTTAAAATAATTAAGTAGTTAAATTACCCTAAAAAAATGTAATATTGCTAAATGGATTGTTAAAAAATATTTAATAATTATCGATAGCAAATTATATGAAACACGATATCACTATATTTTTTCCAATATTACCCAGCGCTATATTCAATCATGCATTAATTGTTCACATATAGAATAAAAATGTGCGCTAGCAAAATAAAAATGGTCAATTTTGATTTCACACAAATGTTAACATAAAAATGGTTAAAAAATCATTTTGCCAAGCAGCTGGTTTAACTAGGTTGTTAAACCTGTTTGTTTCTACCATCAAAAACGAACCATGCATCTATCTATAAGTGGCCATACCTTGGAGTTAAGCATGATCTCAGGGGCACGGTACCAGCGAGTAGCCACATACTCTGTGAGGAATCCAGTGTGGTCATGTTCAGGGTCAGCTATCCTCGCCAACCCAAAATCACAGATCTGAGGGTGAGAAAATATAATTACGATCCACACAACCTTGCACTTTTGCTTTAAAAAGCCTTTAGTGTCTAAATAAAGCTTATTCAGCATCTCTGTCTTGCGATAAAAGAAAGTACAAGAACCACATTACTAAATTTGGTCCTGTGTTCTTCAAAACAGACACAGAAATAGACCTGCTATGAAATGATTTCCAGATTCACTTTTCAAAGTCTGGTTATTTGCTATGTTATCACTATTCTTTTGCAAATGTCCTCTCAAACTGTCATTCTTGAAAGAAATGCAGCGGTTCTGACCTTGAGGTCACAGGTGGTGTTGATGAGAAGGTTTGAGGGCTTCAGGTCTCTGTGCAGCACATTGGCAGAGTGAATGTACTTCAGCCCTCGCAGGATCTGATACAGAAAGTAGCAGATATGGTCGTTGCTGAGTTGCTGTGTCTTCAGCAGTTTATAAAGGTCGGTCTCCATCAGGTCCTGTACGATATAGCTGAAACGCGGTTAAAGAACTACAACAACACAACATTGTGAAGACAACATGGAAAATACTGTGATCTCTAGCGCACTGTGAGTGTTTAAGGATACACATCCCTCATATAATCAATGTGGCGAGCTCTCAGGATGTCATTGATCCCGATGATGTTCTCATGATGGAACCGCAGGAGGATTTTGATCTCTCTCAGGGTGCGCTGGCAGTAGGTCTGGTGTTCAAATGGACTTATCTTCTTAATGGCCACTCGGATCTTATTCACATTATCAAAAGCTGAGCTGCAGGCAGCAGGGAAAGAAATAGTTGGTTAAGTGGAGGAAGTAGATAAAAAAATACAAGCTTGTGCCCATAATTAATTATAGACCTTGCAGTCATGCATGTGAAAAAAAACAAAAAAAAAACAGCAAGACTTATTAGCAGCAATTAATAAAATGTTGAACTGCAGGTCATGCTAAATTACACACAATTTATTTGTATTTACATGAGACATTTTGTTTATTGTGTAAACACTTTGTGTTTAAACAATAAATAAAAACATTTATAATGATTTTAAATAAGCATACATGTATTGATTATTAGTTTGTTCAATAGCTTTTTATGAAATAGCGAATTTAAATCTAAAATGCAAGTGAGTCTAAAGATTACGGGAGCAAATGTTGTTGTTTCTGATAAAATTAAACTTAAAATTGTTTCCAAAAATTACAATTGTTGTCAAAATGCTGAATTGTGTGACTGACATTTGGCGTCTACATCAACTAAACAACCAAAGACTATTCAGTGGCCAAATATTTTAGGACAATATTTGTAGCAAAAAATGTAAACAATTTGTTCTTTTTAACATGAAAATAAACTAACCAAAAAGAAACATTAATTCAACAAGCACATTAAAAATTCAATTTTAATTAAATTATCTTGGCTTAAAACCTCGTTGTTGGTAAAAATATCAATGTTGTCTAAATAAGGATCTATATTCTTCACACATTTATCCTTTTAATGCAGCTCTAAGATAACCCCAACCAAAGATATCCATAGAAGGCCTTGGTGTTTATCAAAGAGGGTTTGTTTACATCCTACAGCAAAACTTGACAATCATTTTAAGCACAGAGGACAGATTAACGCGATCAGCAATTCATTTCAGCATAAAACCTGTAGTGTTGACTGTTATTTGACGGCATCTACTTTTTGCAAGATGTCTCAAAAATGTTGCGTATGTATCAATACAAACAACGCAAATGTTTGCTGGCCCCTTCATCCACATTTGGCCGCAGCGTAACCACGCCTGTTTCACGAGCTCGGAGTGAGATGTCAGATTGTTAGCCATGGTGCTAACGGTTGTAGCATGCAGTTTCACACTACAAACACGCTCCTAAAATCACGAGTGACACTCAACAAACTGAACGACTGACATCAAGCAAATGACTGATGTCTCAATAACAAGGATTCACGAGCAGTGAGGCAAGTAGCTGTGCAATGAAACATAGTGAAATGCCTTCCCCAAAACAGCGTTTTTCAGCGCTCGAGCGTTTCAAACGCGCATAAGATGCCAAGGAAGATGCTGTTTATGTAGGCAACCTGCTATGTTTTGAAACACAGCCAGTGCTGTAAGAAATGGGATTTAATCCAATGCATTACTCGCAATCTATTGTTAGCCCCGAGATTCTGGGAAGGATATGAACAAACTTGTTGAGCTTACTACATCACTCTGTTGCTTAACGTTACATGAGCTTCTCTGCGTAGAAAATGAAAATACGGAATGGCACAAGCTTTCAGAAGGTCAATACCCTGTTTTCTTTACTACGATTAGGTCAGTACCAGCCCACTAATTCTCGCCCCGACCCAACAATATTTGCACTGAAGTGGGCGACTGCAAAAACGAGCCGTTTCCGCTTACCAGACCATCCCGTAGGCCCCCTCCCCGATGTACTGGAGATCAGTGTATCGGGGGCCAACATCAAAATTTTGTCCCTTCACCGACTCCAGGCCAGGCTTGGATCCTGCCGCTCCGCTTGGTCCCCCAGGTGCGACGGCTCCTCCAGGCCCGGCGGCGCTGCTATTCGAGCCCGCGGCTCCGGCCGCCGCCGCGCTACTGCCCGATTCCGCCATCGTTTCTGTCCGCAAATCGTCGCCTTCGCAAAGTCTTTTGGGGAAGGGGGCCTCGTATTTGCTTTCAGATCAAAGACAGGTTTGTCAGATAGCAAATGCCGTCGTTATACGGTGCGTTTTCTTGACAGTCGAAGAGGAGTCGGTCAAGGCCCCCCTGTGGATGCGAGTGCGGAGCGGAGCGCGTGCATCTAAACGGATAGGCAGCGCGAACGCGCATTTCTCCTGTACAACAATCGGGGGCGCGCGCTGCACAAGACGCATTTCCAGAGCGCTCGAGTGGGTGTGCAGATTCAAGCCTCCCACGGTCGCCGTTAGTAGGCCTTTTGCGTTATTTACAGTTTGTGGCTGGAAAAAAACAAACGAAAGGGAGAAGAGGGCATGTGAAAGTTCAAACAAACTTGTAATATTTTCCCTTAATTTAATACGAAACAATACTTTCATCATCATAATAGTCTCAACTCTGAAGCAAACCAAAAGTGTAAAATATTATGATCCACATCTACCATTCTTAAACAACACATGCATTTCAGATTTTTGAAGACACACTGTGCATTCTAACACACACACACACACACACACACACACACTGAGAAAAGAGATTAGAGATACATTTAAAGTGACAAAATGATTGAACCATACAACATTTTTAAGTAAATATAATTAAAAATAAAAAAAGTAAATGAAACTAAAAAAGTAAATCTAATCTATTTATTGTGGCCTCGTTCATTTTTCAGAAATCATTCAGAATCTCATTATATTATCTCATTATATGATGTCTCACATAGTTAACTCATTATGAGATGTCTCACATAGTTAACTGGTCCACTTCCTTTTACAACAAATGTACAAAATGAACAAATGTAATAGTACAGAGAAGCACAGATGAAAAAGCTTAAGCTATTGATCAACAACCTAATGTTAGAATGTTCTCAATTGACTTGAATTTGCTCTGGTATATTTGTGTATATGTATGTATGTTTAAACTATTAATTTCTCTGATTTCTTTTTCTGGATAATAAAAAGGGCTGAAGTTTTCTCTCTTTTATCTTTCCATGTGATATTGTTGTCTGTTAAATGTTTAAAGATAATTATATGAATGTGTCTGACCTGAAATGAAAATAGATGTGTCAATATACAAGAGATGCATCCAGCAGAGCTCCCTCTAGTGCTCGTGCCCGTGATCATAATAACAGCCAGTCGCATGAATGACGTCACCGCATAGGCAGGGCTGATTTCTCGCTCACTTCCTGGTTACTGCAGTTGTGGGCTTTGTGTCTATTGATTGGGAATGAAATCAGTTTCCCGTAAATGGGTTGCATCGGTACATGTAGCGCTTAGTCTTATTGGGCTCCCCTTCTCTGCTGGCACAAGTGGAAGCTGGTATGTAAATAAATGAATTTAATAATTGCTTAAATCACTGCTATATTTAATAGCAGGTGCTGTGTAGCCATGTTATAAGTTTGACAGGTATATAAGCAATACCATTTTCTGTTTATAATGTGTAAATTAATCGGGTTTTGGCATCATCAAAGTTTAAATTCTTAACATTAGTCAGTTACAAAGTTTACAATACACCTTAAGTGCGTTCATTAATCTTGTTTTATGTTAATTTCGGCTTTATTGAACTCAGATATAGGATAATTTAAACAAAGCAATTGTATTAACTAACATTTAAATGCTTAATAAATAGGGTATTAAAGGCATTTGCTTGATTTACATGACATGATTAACAGACATAATTTCTTTAATAGTTTATTTAACTCATTTCCAGCAGGAGGAACGGCATTAGCTTCATTCCCAGTGTCTTTGCATCATCATCATCATCATCATCAACTCTCCGCATGGCTTCGCCCGCACACATTAAAGCTCGCTGTGCTGTGTATCCTGGCTCAGACACGCACAGATTTCCTGTCCCAGATGACAAAGTTGACTGGGAGACAGACTGGCCCCAGTACAGCCCTGTTAACTATACGGCTCCCGCTGTGCTGAAAAAGCCTGTTTGGGCTGATCTAGAGATTGGGTGAGTAAAACAAATAACAAGCAAAGAGCACCATCTTTAATGCCAATACACAATTAAATAAATATTGTAGCTTATTAGTTTTTGTTTTGTTATTCCAGAATAAATTGCAGTTCATATATCTACTTATTTTTGTCTTAATTATTTAAAATGTAATTATCTAGTAAAAGAAAGTAAAAGTGGCATATATAATGATGATTAAAAATTTATGAGTACACCATTTATTTTTCACCAGTAATGTTAAATGGTAAATTAAAACTATTCAGAAAGTCACAATTTTGTAATACACACTTTAGGGAATCAAATGTATGTATTTGTTTAAGTTACAGCTAATTTATTGATAAAATGCTTTAAAGTTTTCAGTGTTTTGAGGGATATTTTGTGACTTCTGACCTACAGTATCGCATTAGCTACTTCTGGGGTTACTGTTAGTCAAACTATGCATTTAATTAGATTTTTAATTAGATTTTTAATTAGACATATGTAGAAACAAAACAGAAAACAGTCTTGTGAATAGGTTAGTTGTCTATCGGTGCTTTAGATCTGCTGGTTTATATGCAGTTATTCGCCTCATTTTCTATTTAATCACTGAATTTAGGTTACATTTGAAGCATTATTTTTAGCTGAATTAGCTTGTTGGATGGTCATTATAACCACACTTTTTGTTGTACCAAAAATATTTCCTAAATATTTAGAATAAAGAAATATGACAAATATTTGTTTTTAAAATAGTTTTTTTTATTTACATCTTATATCATTAGAAAAAAGTTTTCAATTATAAACTGTAGCCTAGTGTAATTTATTAAGCAAATAACAAACTGGCCAACACAGTCAACTTTCCTCAGTCAGAATTTGGCCATTTAAATTATAAAAAACTGAAACAATAATAATAATAACAATTTAGAACTTCACAATTTTTCTAGCCTTTCTTGTAAAAGTGCTTCACACTTTTTTATTGCTAATAAGGTACAACATTTAGAGAATAAATGTTAATTGTCAAATGTTTTCTTTATTTAAAAACAATACAGTAACGAAAGATGACTTCTCTTATGTCATACGTTTTCTAGAAAAATAAGAGTCTTGAAAAAGGTAAGAGTCTTGAAAAATAATTGTTTGCATTGACCAAAACTGATTACTTGAAGTCACACCAGGATTCTGTTTGGTCTTAAAGTGTTTTTCAATGGGTTATTGTTACTATTTAGGATGGCATAGCAGTCAAAATAGGACAAATGAGCTCGTGTTTGGGACAAATTCTGGACCTTTGTCAGTAATGGGGTCTTCCTATCCAACCAAATCCCCTCGGATACGGGCCTATATGGTCTAAATTTTCATGCAGTAGCCAACATGTAGATGCATTTAAATAATTTCTCAAAATTATTTGATAAATATAAGTGATCAACAACAACACATTGATGAATACCTGCATGAAGTATCTGTATAAATGTTTAATTCTATATACTCTTCCTTCAGTGCATTTTGCCCACAGTTCAATTTATTGGATGGATCTGTAGACAGAAGAAGCCATGAGGGCCAATATCGCATACAGAACGGCAAACCACTGTGAGTAAAACATTACAATACCAACTTACCCAAAATATCAAATATTCCTGCTTATAAATGTTTTTTACTTTCTATAAATCATCCCCAGTAATCCACATGGAAGAACTGGACTGGAGGGTCGAGGATTACTAGGAAGGTGGGGTCCAAACCACGCTGCGGACCCAATAGTTACCAGGTATTACAGTTGTCATAATAAATGGTATACAAACACTTCCAACTGCAATCTTTCTCCCATCTGACCGGTTTAACAATGCATACCAGGTGTGTATTGTGCAGTGTGGTATAGTTCACTGGCTGAAAACAATCAGCTATTCATGTGTCAATTGGCCTCATACAGGTGGAAAATAGACTCGTCAGGGCAACGTTTCCTTCACGCTGATTCTAAATTACCAGTATTGCAGTTTGTGTCCATCAAGAGGCTAGACTGTGGTGAATGGGCCATCCCAGGGGTGAGTATATTCTGCACCTATTATTCATCTATTTTAAGCATATATGATACTCTTGCCCACAAAAACAATATTAATATATCAGTTCAGTTTCCTTTATTTTGTCATTCAGAACAGCAACGCAGAATGAAATTACGTTACATCCAACCCAGCAAGAACATAAAATACATCAGAAGACATTATAAAAACATAACATAATAAATCAGCTTTTGTAATTTCAAAAATATCTAAAGATATAGTTATATATAAAATTTAAACCAATGTAAAAATCACAAAAGCTAATATATAAATACTGATTGCACAGTTTGTTATAATAGTAATAATATTGACAGATAGTGCTAATTTAAAGGTGCAATATGTAAGTTTGACACCCAGTGGTTGAACTAGGTGTTGCACTCCTGGATCAAAACAAACTCAAGCCCAGGTTGCCAGATTGAGAACAGGAGCGAGTGATTTAGGCCGTGTTCTATATTAAAGCAATAGCACCCGATAGAAGGGATATTTTACATATTAAAAGGAGTTTTTGTCCTAACCAACACCTCGAATTGATATATTAGAAACTATTTCTATTTTTCGCAGTTGAACAACATTAAAACTATGAAAATGATGACCTCAGGTACACCTTTATTCAGTGTTAAATGCTAACAATGTGAGTTTAAATGCCATTTTACATGACATTTATTGCCATATACTGAAAGCAGCAGCAGATAGTTCACCTCAGATCTTGAAAATAAAATAAACTGTTTGAAATTGAACTTCAGAACTAAACACATATGAGCGATTCAGCATCTACATTTAATAATGTTAAAAATTTAAGTTCAAGTTAATTTATTCATAGAGCACATTTAAAAACAGTCACAAGACTAACCAAAGGGCTGTACACAAGACAAAGTAAAATAAAAAGACGGAATATAAAAACATAGAAATAAGGCAGGAGAAACGACTGATATAACTCAAGAAACGAGTAATATTAATAAGCCAAGCCAAAAAGGTAAGTTTTTAGGAGTGATTTAAAAGTAGATAGAGATGGAGCAAGTCTAAACTCAAGGGCCATGGTGTTCTATAACCGTGGACCCACCACAGAGAAAGCTCTGTCCCTTCTACGTTTCAGTCAGGACTGAGGAACTATAAAAAGGTGT